CGAAGAGGAATACCGGGGGCGGCGGCGCGGGCGGGCCGCCCTGGTGGAGGGGCACGCCGGCGGCCGGGGCGGCGCCGGCGAGGAGGTACTCGACGGTGGAGCACTGCGGGAAGAGCTCGGCGGGGACGTTGGACTCGGAGATGGCGGCGTAGTGGGGCGGGAAGTGGTTGCGGGAGAAGCAGAGCGGGCAGATCCAGATCTTGGCAGCGAAGTCGACGCGGGCGAAGGGGTTGAGGAGGGCCGAGCAGGGGGGCTTGCAGCGGAGCGGCGGGTAAGGGAGCGGCGGCGAGGCGAGCGACTCGGGCGAGCGGACCGGGGAGATCGCGGCGGCGAGCGGCACGACGCAGCGGCTCGCCTCCACCTTGGAGCGCGGCCAGGCGTTCCAGGTGAGGCGGACGGCGTCGGGGCCGTCCGGGTCCGGGGCGGCCGCCGCGGCCGCGGAGGGATCGGCCGCCATGGAGGGTGGGCGCGGTGGCGCGGCGAGCGGCGGTCGGAGAGGTGGTGGGGATGGGGAGCGAGCAGATCGGAGGAGGTGCGCGTGGTGTCTGTCTCTCGTCGCGCTCGCGTCGCGTCGCGGCTTTTGCCTTGTTGGAGGCTTGGCTCGTTTCGTTTCGTTTCGTTTTTATTTTTCTTTTCGAGTGTGCGTTCGACTCGGACGGACGTGGTGGCGAGCCCGCCAAGCTGGCGTGCGATGGTTGGATGCGTTTCGTGGCGACTTGCCGACTTGGCGAGGTCTCTCCGAGACGGATGATGTGTTCGGTTTCCGTATCAGATTGCGGCTCCTACACGATGTGATTTCGGTAAAAACTTATACGTGATTTTATTTAACAAAAATGTTTTATTTATTTAAAATTGTAACTTTATAATATTTAATGGGTATTGCTATATTTCAAACGCATGAAGATCTGTGACATTTTAGTGACTTCAAAATTACACATTTTTCGGACTAAAATTGCAACACTATGGAATATGAGATTTTGCTTTTTTTTAATATGGTTTTACTTTATTTTTGTCTGATTTTGAATAATTTTTACATGTAATTTTGCGACTCTTTAAGTTTAAATTTATTTCACGTGGTTCGGTATTTTTTTTTGGCAAATTTTTGCTACAGTACATACACCGTAAGAAGTTATTTTTGGGGGAAGACGCTCTCAAAATATTGTTATTTGCTAATGGACACCGCATACAATAAAAATATTAATTTCTGGTTCAATGGGAGAGATAAATAGTGTAAAAAGGTAAAAAAAAAATGCCCCTGGGCCCACTTGTCATATTCTTCCCCCACAACTAACTTTCTCTCACACTCTGGCCATAGCACCACCTCTAGTTGCTACCGGCGACCACCCCGAACCTCCCTCCTTGCCTCCTCTACCTCCACCGGCTACGACATCCTCTCCCCACACACGGCCACGAGCGACGAGCTCGGCGTTGGGCAGAACGGCCCCGACGCGGAGTCATCGAGCTCGTCTCCGGCAAGCGTCGAGCAGAGCTACGGTCGGGCGGGGCAACCTCAAGCAGCAACAGCGACGACGTCTTATCCCCTCCCATGGCCACGAGATCGGCGGTAGCCACCGGATCTTGCCAGGCGTGGGGCGGTGGGGGCAGGTTGTCCACCTACCCGGCGGCAGCGCGGAGCGGGAGTTGCAGCCGCGGTCGAGCAATCGAGCTCTTTGGCGGCGGTCAAGAAGGCCTCCTCCACCGCTCAGATTTGGCGGCTTCATTCATGTTTTCCTCCTCCTCGTCACCTCTTCCGATCCGGTGGCCTTGGTAAAGGATGTGCTCAGGGCGACGTCCTCAATGGCGATGACCCCGACGACGAAGCAGCTGCGTGTGGCGTCGTCTTCTTGCTCATTCGCTCCGTCACCAAGAGTCACCGCCTTCGAGCAGCACCGGCCCAGAGTTGCCTTCGAGCGGAGGTGGAAAGAGAGAACGACGCCAGCAGTGGGAGGGTGGGGAGGAAGAGCAGCGCTAAATGGGGGGTAGGAGGAAGGCAAGGAGGGAGGTCCGGGGTGGTCGCTTGCGGTGACCGGAGGTGGTGCTATGGCCAAAGTGTGAGAGGGAGTTAGTTGTGTGGGTACAATATGACAAGTAGGCCCAAGGGCATTTTTGACCTTTTACACTGTTTATCTCTCCTATTGAACCAGAAATTAATATTTTATTGTCTGCGGTGTCCATTAGCAAATAACCATATTTTGATAGTGTCTTCCCCAAAAGTGACTTCGTGCGGTGTCTCACAGCTAAAACCACGAAGTCGCGATGTCCTATAGCAAAATTTGTCTTTTTAAAAAAAAAACTTGGCATACTCTCTCGCCTTACAATATATCAATAATATATTATTTTATCCAGCCAAAAAAATAATATATTATTTTATGAAAATACTTTAAGACAAAGTTTTTAAAGTTTGATAATAGTCTTATCCAAAACAACAAGTATTATTAACGTGAAGAAAATAGATTTAACCTTCTATCTAATAAAGAGAGAGGAGTGATGAGAAAAGTGACTGAAATTTTCGAAAATTTTAGTCACCTGAAACGTAAACACTCCCATATTTATTTCATTCTAAAAGTAAACATACGCATGCTAAATCATCATTCTCAAATCATTTTCATAATATTTCAATCCAAATCATTTCATCATTTCTCCAGTATCTACATATATCTCGCAGCAAAGCGCGGACGTCATCTAGTAATTATCGTTACCAATAACTATTGGACTATTCTGCACAAAGAACCATAGGAGCCTGGACAATACTCCTACTAATTCTAATATTGCATCTAATATGAAGGGAGAATAACGTCCCTGAAATTCGCTTTGAGATAATATGATCCTTAGCATTTCATTATGTATAAACTTGTCCCCAAAGTTTGTCTTGTGGTCTAATATGGTCCTTGGACTCACTAACAACATGTGGTGTCATGGACTTGTGCTGGGGCGGACATCTAGGGTGGGTTGTGGTCTGTTAGGCTCAACGTGCTACATCAAGCAGCTACTATAAAGGAGTCAGACACTACTTGTGACATAATTTGGCTAGTTCTTGATGAAAGTGACTTGTTGAGGAAGGCCATAGCCATTGTAGTGTCTCTCCACCATAGACCGCAGTGTAAAGATTCATGGGTTGTAAAGATCTTTGATATGGGTTTTTTTTATAGCCCTTCAGTTGAAGAACAAAAAATGAAGAAATAAGTCATATTAGAACAGGTGAAGAGATAGATGGCCAATGGAGTTTTGACTAGCAATGCCCTTCAAGCTTGTATAGTTTTTCGCGTTGAGCTTGGTTATCATGCTTCCATGTATGGCTTGGCCGGGCAGTTTAGGATAGTTGGTTGTGAGTCCTTGTAGCTATGATTTTCAGTCGGTTTTCCTTAATTAATATCTCATCACATTGCTGCGGGAAATTAAGTTGCATAATATGTATAAATCAAATACAATATGATTATTAAAACTAAAACAAATTGATACTTATGAATTTTAAGTCCAAAAATAATTGATATTGCATGTTTTATGAGAGAAGAAAAAAGAGATGATTTGAACCAAAGATCTATCACCCAAAAACTATAAATAATTGGGGTGATGTGGCTTAGTGAGAAAAGAGAGAAATAACATTAACTAATTCTTAGTGGGGATGAACATATAGGATTCTGCATCATTTCTCCTTGAAGCACAATATTATATATTATATAAAAAAATAAGCTTGCAATGGTCGGCTGTCATTAAAAAAAATCAGATCAGAACTATTTTTTTAAAGTATTTATCATAAGTGGAACATGTTTATGTTTGATAATTAATTTTTAGAAATTCATGTAGTTTGACAACATGTAGGTTATTATGAAAGTATTTTTTTTATGGTGAATCTAATTGATATTACATAGTTCATAAAATTAATAGTTAAAATATAACAATGTGTGTTTAGTATAAGTAATTTTGAGACGTAGGGGCTACAATCATCGAAGAAACCTAATCCAACAATAGTGATTACATCTCCATCTGAATAGGCTCAAAGAAACAGCTGACCGAGTTGATCTGAAAAGGAAAGAGACTGGCGTACGTACATGCTAGTCACTGGAAGAGAAGATCGAGGTAATAGAGGTAGTGCAACCACGTATAATATATAATAGAAACCTAAAAACTAATATAGCATTTAAAAAGAGGCGTATGATATATTTATCCATATCATCATGAGTGTAACTTTTACTCCCATATTTAACCATAAGTAAAAGTTTTACTTCTACTCTGAATCATATGTATTTTCGCTACATATTTGGTTTGTACTATAAGTTTGGTTTGTGACCAATGTTGGCCTTACCAAAATTTGGCATGCTAATTTTTGGTAACGCCAACATGTGTTTAGATTGAAGCCAAATTAAACTAATTTGGCTATTGAAATGGCCTATGTTATATAGGTATGCTAAAATTTGGTTTCAATCCAAACATACACAATTATTGTTGAGGTTGCCAAAAAATTGGCAAGCCTAATTTAGGCCTCAAACCAAACTGCCCATAATTTTTTCTGGGAAGAGATAACAGTGGTGAGTGGAAGCCAACTGATGGGAGCGGTAGCTGACCAAAGTAGGTTTCACCATTTTGGAATAAAATTTTTAAATGCTCCAAAAATTGATGCAAAATGTTATATCGAAGCACATATTTTGGTTTTTACTCTTATGTTCTAAAATTTAAGCATATGTACTCCCTCCATTCTAAAATATAGTATTTTTTGGGTGGATGAGACATATCCTAACACTATGAATATGGATAGAAATATATTCCATCCAACAAAAAATTGTTATATTTTGGGACGAAAGTAGTATTTCTATATAGAAATGTTAGTAATATTTGTTAGTAAGTGTTGGCAGTGTGTATACCTGAAAGTTTATGTGTTCACCCCTCATCCTAACTTAAAAAATGCATATCTGAACATAGCACAGAGCCAAGAGCCCATTTGAACAATCAAGCTAGACTCACAAAAACAGGAAAACATAGTTTTGCGAACCACAATTGAGAGAAACTTTTTTGTCATTATACTCTCCACGTTATAATAAACGAATACGAAAACTACCAACAGTTTCTAGTATTAATAACTTATAAATCATACCTCCAGCATATGTAACGAATACGAAAACTACCAACAGTTTCTAGTATTAATAACTTATAAATCATACCTCCAGCATATATTTAATTCCAAGATACCAATGGAAACCTATATTATTTGAGATTTACTCCGGTTCAAAAAAAAATATATATTGAGATACCGGTATCTCATTATACCAAATCATTTCCGATCGTTGAATCTAACAATGCACATTATACGTAGCTAGATCCAACAATCAGAAATAATTTTATACCGTGAGGTGAGGTATCGATATCTCGAGATATTTTTTATTAACCGGAGCAAATCTCATATTATGTTATATTATGTTATGTGTCTTGTCTACTTCAAGACCTGCGCGAAGAGCTCCTTGATAACGGAAGGGCAAGTGGTGGTGAGCAGACGGAAGTCATCGTCCAGCCTCGTCACCTGCCTCAGCTTCCTCTTGCACGAGAGGAAGTCCAGGCACGCCGCCTTGAGCACGCGGCATCCGTGCTTCTCCGCGAACACCAGCGTCGACGCCACCGTGAGGACGCTCAGGCTCCTGCACAGCGCGTCCTCGCACATCAGCTGCAGCCTCTCCATCCCGTACCTCGCCGCCGCCGCGTGCAGCCGCCTCGCCGCCTCGGCCGCCGCCGCCTCGTCCTCCTTCTCCTTCGTGTCGCGGGCGCGGGGCTGGGGCGGCGGCGGCAGCGCGTCGGTGTAGATGAAGTGGAGCAGCGCCCTGAACGTCTCGGCGTCCATGTCGTCGTCGACGCGCAGCGTCATCATTGTGTTCTTGGTGGCGTCGGCGTCGGTGTAGGCCGCGTCGTCGGAGTCGGATGACGAGAGCTCGGCCGCCATGACCGGCGATCTCGCCGCGAGCATCCACCGGTGCGCCGTGAACGTCTTCCCCTGGACCTCGATGAAGACGTCGCCGCTGGATTGGTTCTTCCAGAGGAGATCGGCGAGGTGGCGGTGCAGGTTGGGCGGTGGCACCTTGATCCCCTCCTTGATCTGAACCCCTCTGCGGCCGTCGCCGTCGCCGGCGCTGTTGACGAATCCGAGTTCGCAGCGGACGAGGAAGCCGTCGTCCTTGAGAAACCCCGACGTCTCGAGCTCCGCCCTCTTGATGTTCATCCCGAAGTCGTTCCCGGAGAAGTCGACGGCGGGCATGCCCTGGACGAACGACGGCGGCGCCGGCCTCCCGTCGCGGTCCACGAGGCTGAACCTGGCGTCGGCGATGACCGGCTTGGCGTCGCCGCCGCCGCGGCGGTAGGCGCCCGCGATGCCGACGTAGACGGAGACGACGCCGACATCGCGGGGGCCGTGGCCGTTGGGGTAGAACCGGATGAACCAGCGGTGGCCGCCGACGGTGAAGTTCATGGCCTCGATGAACCTTCCCCTGCGGAGGTTCTTGGTGCGGGAGTAGCCGTCGATCCTGACGAGGTGGGACACCGTCGCCGGCGCGGCGGTTATGGAGTACATGGCCGGAGGGTGGCTGGGGGGGAAGAGGAGGTCGACGAGCGACACTAGCAAGTCCATGATGATGGAGGAGGAGGAGGCGGCTACGGCGACGCAGCTCGCGGGATCGCGCGAGATGGATCGGCTCAGGCGGTGGGCGATCGAACTCGCGAGGAGACGGGGAGGGGAGATCGAGTAGGGTACGGGAGGGTAAGGGTAGTTATCGATGTGGGGTTTATATTTGAAGTTCTGAACGCCCTACGTTCTCGGCTGAAACAGAGTAATGATAATTTGTGTTCTTTACGGAACTGAGTAAACTGTAGTGTTATAAACATCTCTTCTCTACTTCTGCACAAAATTTTTGGTACGACATCCTATTCCTATTCCGATAGAATATCAGTGTACGAGTACGTGGTTTTTATTTCTATATCTGTACTTAAAAAATTACGGAAGGCTTCGGTGGATTTTTCTTTATGAAACTCTGGTCCGGCCAGCATCACCTGAGCACGCTGCCAACTCGCGCTTGCGAACCAATCCTCACGGATGCTCCCAATGCCCATCTGTTCCTCCGTGGTTGCTGCCAAGATTTGCCTCCACTTTTGCCTAGGCCGTCGCCGACACAGGACAAGCTTCGGCATGGCTACCACCAGGGGCATCGGTTCCTCCACCTCAACTTCCTCTGCTTAAGTCATCTTCACCAAGATCCTCACGCTGACCTCTCCTACCATGTTGCCGCCACCTAGCACTAGCGCCTGTCTACCCCGCCACCCCGACACCTTCTCCACCGCCGGCGCACTGAGGGACTCATCCTACTAGGACCTTGCTCTTCCCCAACCTCTACGCAGGCCGAGAGTCGCCGTTAGGCCGCTGGTGCTGCCCTGCAGCCATCCCCAAGCCTTGCCGATGGGACCCTGCCCCTTGCACGCCGCCCCAACTCCTCTTCTACATCATCCGCATCTTTGGTGTCCTCCCCCGACCTCTGTGCTCAGGACGCCACCATCCAACCTCCGCTGCCTAAGGGGAAGGGGCGTCCTCCTGTATCCGTAGTCCCTCGATAGCTTCGCCGCTCTACGCGGGTCACCACCAGCTGCTTCCTTCCCCTGAGCGTGTCGTTGTCGCCTGCTCAAGGTTGGGTGAGGGACACCCATTTATCCGGCCTGGTCTGATCTGTAACCTCTGCTCCTCTTAGCTCCCACGCTTATCTCTTCTTGTGTTCTTTAAACTGAAGAGAGAACATAGAATAATCTTTCTGCAGACATCTGGAATTTAGATCTTTACTGCACGCAAATAGAATATGAACCATTTTAGTGCTCTTTATCTCCCCTTGCATGGTGTCCGCGCGGTACGACACCAACGTTGTTCGTGTGTGAACCTCTCGGATCATACGGGATGGCAGAAGCTACCGACTTCTCGAAGTATGTTTGTTGCAAGCCCGGTCACTCTATTTGGCAGTATTATACCGGCATGTCAGTGTGGTATCATCACAAGGTTCAAAACTAAAGACATTATTACACTGGTTTATTTTCAAATTATCACAGGCTCCAAACCTGATATGAAGCTAAACTTGTGAAGCTGGAAAAAGGTACTCCCTCCGTCCCAAAATATAGCAACCTAGTACTGGATGGGACATATCCTAGTATAACGAATGTGGACATACTAGGTTGCTATATTTTAGGACAGAGAGTATGTATTTTATAGGGCAGATCCACCCACTCCGGCTCCAGGCTCCAGCTCCTCGGACAAGATAGCGGTTGGAGCCATGTCAAACATGCCCATAATATATAAAAAATAACTTCCAGCTGCTCCTTGTCTACAGACAAGAAAAGAAATGGTAGAGGCACGGATATAGACTGTATAGTGAATATGCTTATTTTAAAAAATAAAAATAAAGAGCAACACTTATGTTAGTACAATGCAGCACTGAATAGTACTACATTACTAAAACTATATACTGCAGGTAAGCAAATCACATTGCATCTAACTTTTCTTGCAAAAAGTAAACTGTGTACATTTCTGATATTGTTCCAGGAGATCCACTGGGCAATTAGTATCTCAATTGTCCGCAGATTCTTCTATGGTTCGTCGACTAAATTTTCTGTTTGACTTCTACCATAATTCCATAGATCATGAAGTTCACCTCTAAACCAACCAAGTATAACAATAAGCCCTGGAACGAGAAATACATGGGAGTCGTCACTTGCAATGACTTAAGAGTCATATGGAAAGAAAAGAATAAAAACAATCCATGATTGTGTGCTAAAGGAACGATGCATATACTTACCTAATGTACATGGAACAAGGTACAGCAGCGCAGGTTGACCATGCCCGTCCATCAGGAAGAGCGCAAGATAGGTAAGGAAAAGGCCTACATGAAAAAAAAAATGTAATCCCATTACGACATATCCAAGGTCTCCACAAACATGTGTTCATGCCATAACACAATGACATGCATGTACACATGAATCCATTTTGCAAAAAAAAAAAAAATCAAAATCAAAATAAAAAACATTCAAAATAAACAAGTTAGCCATTGTCAATTTCATTCTAAAAAGAAGGGGAAGAAAACAAAGATAATTCCTGCAATGGAACAGTAACATTCTCCCTCGTTGATTGGTACTCCCTCCATCCACAAAAGTTAGACATACTTCACATTTGAGTTTTTCCAAATAAGTTGTTCTTATTTGTAGTCTTTATGCATTCAAGACTTAAATGAAGAGATAAATTAAATGTTTGATTAGAACCAAAGGAGTCATCTAGATGTTAGAACTTCAATGGTTACTCTCATTGAGAAGAGGATGGCACTCAGAGTGGGGCAATTTTCTGGTTTTCTTCATTCACAAACTCAAAAGCCATACCTACCCGAGGGAGGTTGGATACATATATATAGCCATAGCTGGCTGCTAGCCTATTGCTGCACCCTCCTAGTCTAAAATTCAAAATTTGAATGGGATGCTGTCCTAGAGGGCATCCAAACTGAATAAAGCATAAAGGAGGCATAAAGGAGATGCTAACTGCTGCTGTCCTACTAACCGCAGCTATCCTAGCAACTGAAAAATATGCTAAAGGGGTAGATGCTGTCCTGAAAAGGTGAAACTACCCAAAAGCAAAAAGAAGAATCACGACCAAGGACCACAAAGACTTATCCAACACTAAATACTCATTGGTTGTATGCTTACATTCAATCCTTGATTTTGTAATATCCAAGATGATTTAATTTCTTCTTGGTCTTGATGATAAAAGTAATAGGTGTAACTTTTGTGGATGGAGGGAGTATAGTTTTACAGCTGGAAACGATGCTACCAGTAACATATGGCTTCAACTAGTCCTAAGATGGTGTGAAAACCATGACCATTAATTAATACTTTCTATGTTTGTTCAGACTTATGTAGTTCATAGTCAAGTAACTATTAGGCAAACTGCACAAGGAAAAAAAATTCAATGTCACAGTACACACGATATAGAGCATAGAACATAGGTAAAATATAAAAGTGTAAAAAAAAAAGAATGAACAGCTTACCAACAGCATATCCCACCGTCAGCCATAGAAAATACCCATTGAAGAGGCCCCTTTTGCTTGCTCTATCAAATCTACACGGTATCAAATTGATGTATGGGGGTAAACATGATTGAATATATATAATTGAAATAGTCATAAGTAAACACAACAGATATGGAAAGGGCTAATTAAACCTCACAGAGAAATAATGAAACCATCAAACAAACGCCGGCATATATAATAAGATGCCTGGCCCCAATTTTCTATGTTAACAAGAGTGAAATCCATTATGCAAGGATGAAAATAAAAACAGGTAAAATCAATTACAACATGAATCGATTACCACATAAAAACAGGTATTTCTAACTTCGGAATCCTAAACAGTTAATTATATTCTGCTTGACAAGTCAAATTATAGCATGATGAATTGATTACAACAGAACATACTTTATTTCCAACATACCAAATAAAGGACTAAATTAGCCAACAGTACGAAACCATTGGGAGAGGTTTTTATGCCTTAAAGTTGAGTTTCAACATTAACAAAAAAAAAATGGTGATATAAGGTGTATTTGTTGTCCTACCAACAAGAATACCACCAATGTGTTGGCGAAATCAAAATTTTGGTAAGGTTGTATAGGTAATGTATAACTCTGATAATCCAAATAGACTCTGATTCCATTGGCAAGACCAGTGGTACTATTGGCATTACCAATATTTTTGGTAAGGCAAATTTTGGAATCAACCACTGGCTCATTGCCTTTATGTTCCTTGATGACAGAACAGTGTAAAATCAAAGGTCATTAATTCAAACAGAAACATGGTGTTTGATCCTCTTTTCCACCACGTAACATCTTGGTACCATGGTACACTAACTTAATTAGCAATCAAACAAATCATGAAACGTGATAGGAACTTTCAGGAGCCAATTAGCATATTGCTTTCATATGGTGATTGGTGAATTCCATTTTCTGCTAACATTCTCAGTATCATTTGATTTTAAATAAAACTACACCCTACGGTAAGTGTTCCTAAAGTTTTCAGATGGTTTACAACTTCACTGTTTTGATTTGGGATTATGTTTTCCTCATCAACAGTATATTTACCAACCTACCGACACTTTAGCGTCCAGTGAAACCAAGGCATCAAAAGAGAAGTTACAACTTATATTGCAGCAATATATATAGTATAATACCTGTAGCTGAATGCAACTAGCAATCCAGGGAAAATAATGTCACCAAAGCCTATCATGTCATAGCCACCCCATGGATCAAAGAAACGAGGTATTCTTAAGAGCATCGGAATTGCTTCCCCAGAGTTATCACCACGAGCAACCTGTGCAGTATGGATAGAATCATATCTAACACTATAACACTTCATAATAGATAAAAGGTATATCTTACAGGACAGATCTAACTGAAGATACACATATCAAACTTATATGAATTGTCTTATCACCAAATTTTCTAACCTCCAAGTGAATGCTTTCGAATTAGATTGAAACATAGAACAAACTAACAAAATAGTACGCTATTACTATTAGTAAGCATGTGCTACTATCTGGTTTTGAAAATAACATGGAAACTAGTAGATTCATGAGCCACGTATGCAGCATATTATGGTACTATTATCACCACTGGATAAATCCACAGTACTAAACAGTAAGTAATAAAAAGATTGTTGCAAAAAAATAAAAATCATGCACTTACTGCAATCATGACACTTTCATGGAATATAAGAGGTGAAATGAACACCCAGAAAACATCATACACAAATGCAGCACTAAGAAGAGCTGATGCAACCTGCAAAGTTATAGTCATGATGAATAATTCTGATACACATATGAAACATATAGGTTTTGCACGACTACATTAAACTTAAAGACATGGCAATACCCTGATATTTGGTAAGCGTGCCATTTGAAGCACAGTTATCATCAGGCAGATTCCCTGAGGACAATAAACAAACCCCATGGTTAATAATATCTAATTGATTTTGCAAAGGCTCTGCTCACATGTCTCAAAACACAGAAGGCAAGAAATTTAACATCTCACGTATGAATTATTACAAATGTGCAACTAAAACATAGATTTGTTATAAGACTATTCCACACTTCAAAATAAAATCATCTCAAAAATAAAAATAAAATGGAACAACCAGACAACATAAATTTTGACACATGCATGAAATGTTGATACAATATCCAACTTGGAAACTGTGGTATACAATATCCAGCTTAGAAACTATGGTATACAATATCCAGCTATGGTATCTTATCCAAAACCAGTCAGAATAGTGTGAAACGAGCATAGTGGTGTCTACATTTTGCAAGGAACCAAACAATCAGGCTAATATATATTTTTTTTTTGTAAAAGCAATGTTAATTATTGGATATTTATGCAAAAAAAATCTTCAAACCAAATATTTTTGAAAGGAACAAACCACGTTACAGTGCGCAAATTTTACAAGGAGACATGTTAGCTGACCCACTGGAAATATACAACTTGGATCCAGATTGATTTCAGAAGTAACACTATGTTAGCCTTTACAGTATATTGTAATATACTTATATTATGTGAATCCAGACTTGCTTGCTGGTACCTCTGAAGGCATGTACAGTTAGTTGCATACTTTTGAATGGTACTGAAGCAAAATATAGAAAAAAAAATGCACCTCCTAGTGAGAAGCACACCATACAAGGTCATATATAAAATATAGAAAGACCACACAAGAATGAAGATAAATTAGTCTTACAAGGATGTCTTGGCCTATCCAAGCAAAAGAAGCATGCCGATAGACAGCCCAAAGAATTGCAAAGATAGTGCAAAATGGTACAATCAGAACAGAAAGGGTCAACACCTCCCCAAAAAAGGGGAGTTGTACAGTCTTCTGTCCACAATCCTTGCAAATCCTGTTAGGTGAAGTACATCAAATAAGAAAAGAAAGGCAAATAAAGTGAACAGCGGTGACCAAATTCCTATATCCAAATTAGTTCATTTGTTACCTAGTGAGAAGTGTGACCAAGCAAACATGCATACCCTGTAAAATTCATAGTCAGTCTCATAGCTGAATCTCTCAACAAAGGAAAATGAAAAAAAAAAAAAAGGTATACTTCAACATTCAATGAAAACAAAAGGGAAAGAAGTGTTAAGATGGTACCAATAAGAAATAGCACAATGCACATAACAAATGTATGAGAAAATACCTCAATACCACCAATGCAGAATAATACAATTAGCAGCCAGACGAACCAAGAAGACATGAAGTAGAAGAGGAGGAGGAGGAAAACTGAAGCTACTAAAATAAAAACAATAGCCCCCTTGGCACTGATCTCGAAGATTTCTTTATCTTCTCTGTTGGTTGTTCCAGAATTAGGCCCATCCTGTTTAGCACGAAAAGGAACAAATCTGTCAGTAAAACATAATCCAGTGACGAACTACAAAAATATGATATAACAGAACCTAGATATGTTCTAAGCAGCAAGGACGTTCTTGGCAAGGCAACAAGATAAGTTGTTGTATTTTGAAATGCTGAAAGGCAGGTTACATAAAAACAACATCCAATGATTGAAAAGAATATACTTGGAAGACATGTGATTTTATTTTTTAAAAGAATACATGAAAACCAAAATTGAACACAAGGCATATTGTAACATGATTCCATTAAATAGTGAACTCACAGCAAAATTTTCCGAAGACATCATAGAGTTGAAATTGGTCTTTATATGCTTCAATTATATATTGCATGTTTTATCAATAACTTATCTATTTTCTATATGTGATGCATTGTTTAGTGGCACTGCAGTCTGCATCACATATTTTGCCACTTGTGCAAAGTATTCAAGCCATTTCACTTAAGGACTTAAGGTGGTAAAAAAAACTATTCACATCGTAAGAATAAAAATTGTAGAGTGGTACCAAGAGAAAATGGGTATGAATGTGCTACCATATGTGTGTGAAAATATAAAATTAAAATGACATAATTTGGATAGAAAGGTAAAGCACAAAAGTCAAAACCTTCCGTGTCAACTGATTATAACGCTCATCAACTTGCTCGCATGCAACAAATTCAGTCCAGAGTGAAGCACAAACTATGGTTCCTATAGCCATTATCCACAAGAAGCATGCTGAAAGGTCTACAACTGGTCGATTTGGTGAATATAGCTGCACCTCCACTGCAGCAAAAGAACATTCTTGTTAGCATGCATACTTTGTATTACCATAAACTACTAATTCAAAAGTACAATTTCACTTCAACTAGTCAACATTTATGCAATCACAGCACCCAACACAAAGATTTCCAATTTATACAGGGAGTCAACTGAGCGACTTTGCTTGTGTGAGCGTGCATGCATGTGTCCACACAGGTCCAGGTGGGAAGCTTGCCCATTTTGTTATCTCAAAAGGTAGCGTGCAGGATTTCTGGAGAGCAAATAAGGCACCAGGACTTCTAGAGAGGAAGCTGCACCGTCACCAGCTTGGAGATCTAGCATAGCCATGAGTTTCTCCACCACCAGCTCTGCCTGCCAGTCCACCATATTGTTGGAATGCTGATTATTCTGCTTCAAGCAGGTCGCTCTATTTCAAGCCAGCTGCTGCTTTGCTTCAAGATCCCTCCACATTGCTCCTTCCGTGTTTGCTACTCGCCTACCTAGATACTAGGTGTCAACCTTTACTAGCAATAAATTAGACTGCAGAAATTGTTCACTCCATTGGTATGGATAAAGGTTTTAAAACCCAGAACCAAATGCAAAACAGGATGCACACAGTTTTAGTTATCAGTGAAAAGCTGTCATATCAGCAATTTGTCTTTCTTTTTCATATGATCTTTGTTTAGAAAATGTTGGTTTTGACATATTTGAAGTTTGGGATATAAGTTAGATGACATTAAAAGTAGAACTTCAAAGAAAGATCCAGGGTCAGGATTCACGAACCTGATGAGCGAATATCTCTAGACTCCTTTAAAAGTACTCCAATGGTGATGGCAGTGAATATGCTACCCCACCTACTCCCATTGTAGTTTTTACATAATACACCTTGAACTTCTTAATATTATATGACAACTAAATCTAAATGGATACCCAAAATTAAGGTGAGTATCCCAAAAGCAAAAGGGTGGGCAACATATTTAATAAAAAATATGTTTTTATTTATTTTAGGCAATATTATGATTTTTTTTCCTTTTATACATAGTAAAGCACAGGCATTTAACTAGTATGCCAAAATTCTTCCATTTATAATCTGCAAAATGGTCCCAGCAAACTCTACTTAAAGCCGATTTCTTCCTTTCCTTTTTTTTTTCCAATACACCTGAAGATCAGCTCATCTGCAGGCACTAACTCGCTCAAGAGAGCACGGGACGGCATGCTCGAGAGATTAAAACTTCAACAGTCAACACAGATAATTGCCTTGTACAGTTGATAACTTAGTACAATATTGGAATATTAAGCGCTCAGTACTCTAATTGATGTATTGCCAAGAGGATTTTCTTACAATATGGTTTATTGCATCATGTTTCTTTGCCATACTGGATAAATATAAAAATATAAGTTAGAATGAATTCAAACCAACATTAATTCTGTTTTTAGTCAGACAACATATACCTGATGAAAAATGCAATTGGCCATCACAGTAGATGGAACCATGGAAGTAAAAGGCTTGAGATGTTTAAGTAACTAAACCCTACCAATTGGCAACATAAGCAGGAAAAAAGAAATATGAATGAAGCTTAGCATTACTGAGGATAATTAAGAATGTGTAACTAACTGACTTACGCCTTGCTCCCTGATCCAAGAGGCCCTTCATCTTTTTTCCAGCTGACTGTGGTATCATTACAACAGGTATTGTAACATTAATGGAAGTATCGTTGTCACTGCAAACCATCTTGTAAAGTTCTGAAAGAATGAAGTTTAACAGATAAATACGACTATATTAACAGGATATATATAATAATATATTTCATATTAACCTTTTCATACCTTCATTATCATTGATAACTAGTAAACCAACTGCACCTCCAGTCTGTGCAATCTTTGCTTTAGCAGTGAAAGCGCATTCTCCACGTTGTGCTATAGCAATATAATTTGTTAGCTGCAAAAGCGAGAATTAGTTTAGAAAATATTTACAGCAGTCATTCAAAGAACCAAACTTGCTAATAAGTTTATTATAGTTGATGTTAAAATCAAACCTTTGATGTCGAATTGGAACAACAATCAAGTGGATTTGCAAGGACAGCAAATGTTTTCTGAGCTTCATGAATATCTCGAGGCACGGAGGCTCCAAATCTTGCACTCAACCCAACAACAATTGTACCTTCAGTTCCATTTACCCAATTCTTCACCTTAACCTGGATAAAATCTCAAGGATGAGAACCCTTGTGGAAAAACTTAAGGACCCCTTTGAATCACAGGAATGGAAAAACAGAGGAATAGAAAAAACACATGAATGACCGTTTGATTGAACCACAAGAAAAACGTAGGAATCAGATGAGAGAGTTAGACTCAAAGGATTTTTTTTCCAAGAGGTTGGACCTCTTGCTAACTTTCCTCCAAAATCTCTATAGGACTACCCATTCCATAAAAAATTTAAAGGATAGGATAGGATTCAATCCTTTACTTCAAAGGCTTTCATAGGATTTTTTTTTCCCATAGGATTGGAGTCCTCTAAAATTCCTACATTTTCCGTTCAAATAAAAGGGGCCCTAAAAGTATAGGTAATTTTCTTTGTAACTTTTATTGCGCACCAACAGGGTACATGCAAGTATATGAGTCTCATGCAAAATGACTACCATAGACATCACTAGAAGGAAAAAGATTGTTTAACTCCCTCAACATTGTTGGTTGTCTGTCTACTTAAACCCCCAAAACAATGAGATGGCCTAAATGGCACCCTTGAACTATCCAAGCCTATCAAAATTCCATTACTAGAAAGAGATTGGCATGTGCACTTGGTAGCCTTATATGACAGAACGGCATCAACAGTAAATAAGAACTATATTGTTAGTTTTTAAATTCAATATTTTACTTGGGTCTTTGTTTGCAAACACCAGGAATAGAACTGAGAGCTTGACCCATGGTGAAATTTCACAAGTACGCTGTGGAACATTTAAATGAAAAGGGTGAAAGGTTAAAGGGTAAGCCCTACACAGTTCAATCCACCGGGACAAGATAACTACTATGGTGACAAAAATTGTTCAAGAAAATATCTTGTTTTATCTTCTTGGTTCATGGTTCACGACTAGTCATGTGAAGATGTCTATATGCAGCAGTTGCCCCTGCTTCTGTGTACCACATGTAGTCACTGTGTTGCCTCCAGACAATGCCACTGCATTACTCTGTACCAATGCCACCTGAAGTGAGAAGTGACCATGCAACTGAAAAATACATTTTAGTTGGGATAATCGATCATATGCCACTGTTCAGAGATTGCACTCTAGGATTTGCCATTCTCTGGAGGCCAATTGTTTTCTTACCACTTCTTAGTTGGTTTAACACATTGCCACTTTTCACCGAAAATCCGAAATACATCATTTTGCCCCCTTTTCTTTGCTAAGCTAAGCACCAGGTGGTGCATCCGTTATCCTCTTGCAGTCTTGCTAGACACAATGCATCATATGCTTGTCCGGCTCAAACCATCAAGCAGCTGAGCCCATCTCATCTCTCTAATCTACAAGGCGATTCAGTGGCAGCACCATGTCAACGAAGCAGGACCGCCTGGAGGACCAGAGCGAGGACAAGTACACACCACTGCAGCCCAGCCCAACGCTTGTTATTTCTGTACTGCCTCCTTGTATCCTTCGCCACCATAACCGTTGTTGCCATGGGTCATGCCACTGTCCGCCTGGTAACATGTTCTGTTACTATCTTCCTTGCTTCTTGTAAAATCTATTCGTTTTTTTCTCATCATTTGAGAAAGTTGTTCAATGGTTCCTGCAGGAGGGGAACGGGTTCAGCTGTTCGATGGTTCAAGCCGGACCAAGTACATGATACGTCATGGACAGCAGGCGCAAAACAGGTACATCGTTTGGTGCTTTTCCAAAAATATAAAATGAAAAAAAAGAAATAGACCAATTCGGTCTAAAGTGGCTATTTCTAGAGATAATCAGCTAAGTCAACCAAAAAGTGGCAAGAAATCAATGCTATCTCTACAGGGCACATGATCAACTATCATTTTTAGTTCAAGCTATCAGAAATGAACTAAATGGAACTCCATAATGAAACGAAATCACAGTCCAACTGGATCCATAATTCCAGTACACAACTAAAGCGTGCAGCTCGGAAATTCCTCCTCTCCTTACCCAGCATCACAATCCATCTGGGAACAACTCAACCAAATTCTCAAGGTCCTCTGCCATTACTAACCAGCACTCACGGAGGCAGCAGATCCACAAATCCCCCCCTCCACAACCAAAGAGAGATCCCCATCCCTTCCCCACTAGGTCACCCCCATAAGCCAACCAGCAGGCTAAGCACCCTACCACCACCAACCACCAAACCCTGACCAAAATCAGGAAGAGAAAAACGGGAACGGATTGGGGGCGGCGGGGGGGGGGGGTGTGGGGCGCGCGTTACCAGCTGGAACTTGTTGGAGCAGCCGGGCGACGGCGGGACGCCCGCGTCGTCGTCGCTGGAGGCGTCGTCGGCCGCGGAGCCGCCGGCGAGGAGGACGAGCAGGAGGACGGCGGCGGCGGCGGGGAGGCGGCGGGCGTGGTGGGTCGCCATAGGGCGTCGCCGCGTCGCGCCGCTCGCCTTTCCGTGGCTCGGACGGCAGTGGCAGAGAGGAATGAGGAGAACACCGACGCGGTGGGCCCGGGCTGGCAGTGGAACATGGATGGGGGATGGGATGGGGCGGCGCCCGGGAGAGAGTGATGTTTCGTCAATCCAATATTCGTAAAGATCGGTTTATTAGCGAAAGAAAAATATAATGTGTGCTTATATTGGTTTTAAAATAAAAATACTGTACATTAAACTAGTATGAAAAAAAATAAAAATTCGAATTTGAAATTAAAATTTTGGTTTATAACATAAGCAAAAGGTTGTATGCTTTATAACTGGTACCCACTAACTGATGAGGGAGTTAGGTCCCGATCTTCCGATAGGTATTGATAAACAGTTAATTTGGGCGGAGTTGCGATACAACTCGATCCGGCTTCTGAACGAACACGCTACTGAGCCCCGCAATCGCAGCACCACGTCTCCTCTGGTTATCAACCGTGCCGAAACCCGGTTGACCTCGCCGAGAAGGCTAATCCCTGCATGCGAATCGAAGAACACAAGAAAGAACAAGATAGATTGCAACCAAATTACATATGAATGATTAAGCACTCGGATTTGGGGTTTCACAAATCGATCTAGCGGCGAAACTGTTCTTGATAAAATAATTTAAGCAAAACCCGACTCTAAACGATGACGGCTAATGAATAAATATGATTAAGGACGTCCTAGGGTTGCCCTAGGGCGCACACCCCCTTGGGCTAAGCCCACGACACAGTTACAAGGCCCAAAACGCAAATCAGATTCGGACTGGATGAGATACGTGGCTTGTTTTGCAGTTTCCCGGCAGCTTGGTAGGAATTTTGATGTGGGACCAAATCCATCTGAAAGTAGACTCCATAAGCTTTCCAACAAGTACTCATGGGCCCCGAAATTCCTTCTAGAACAGCGGCTAGATCTATTTGAAGTTGATGCTGTCAGGAGACCCGAATCTAAATTCAAAACGTGTATAACTTTATCTCTTGTCTTCTATGGACCAAAAGTGACGTGGTGAGATGAAATAAGACTTGAAGAAGGTCTTGGTTTGGTTCCCAATCAACTTCTTCAATCATCTATGCATTCCTTACGCTCGGTCTCTTTTCTTTCGCCCAAGCAAGTACCTCTGCAAACAAAAACACATGAAACTCATTGTGTAGCAATGTTTGTTCAAATATATAACAAGTAAATCTAATGTAGAACATATGCACCTTTGGTTGATTAATACATAAGGTAGTCATGGTTATATCCGAGCTAGTTGTGTCCTCATCACTAATGATGATTAAGCTTAGTATGTATATTAAAACAGCTTTGAAAGGAGACACCATATTCGCTGTGGGGACTAGAAATTCCCACATTAATCGAAGAAAAATAGAAAAATCTGAACCGTTAAATCATGATGAGCCTGTATTATAACGGTCGAGATTGATTAGATATCTATAGTAAAGGAAACTATCTAGAGAAATTAATCCTACTAGACTAGGTAAAAAACAATTGCTACTCTACACAACAAAACAAAAATCATGTTGGAATTATGTCCAACCACCCAATCAGACAAGGTCTCACTACTACTCCATGTATTTCTTTCTATAGCATACGTTTTCCTTAATAATATATATAATACACGTATACGGACACCATGGATACAATAGTAACACAAGGCCTCATATGCATACACGTTTATGGATAAATATATATATGGTGGACTGAGAATATATATTATTAATTTAGTTGATTGATGATTGATAAAAGGGCATCAAAGTTGGAACGTACATGCGGCCTGTTACTGCCTACCCTAGACAGCAACAAAATAATTCCGAAAATAAAATAAATTTTGAAAAACAAATAAAATAAATTTAGAAAAACAGAAAAATAATTATAGGAGTTCAAGTAAGAAAATAATTTATAAATAGAAAATATCATAATGAAAAATTAAGTAACATGCCTGTAAAGGAGTAGAGTGGTGATGGTTGATACGACGTATAAAAACTGTTAATAAAACACCAAATAGAATCCTAATGACTATTAAAAAGAGGGAAGACAGGCAGGCCATGAAGCAAACAGGCAAGGCGGTTGCCGAGACTTCTAGAAAGTAAAAAAAACATCGATAATAATATTCGATTTTTAAAATCTCAATGACAATAAAAAGGAGAAGCAGCAGGCGGGGTGTATAGAAGTATAGTTGCAGAGCTGCCGACGGTTGGCGGGACGTCTAGAAAATAAAAAATTGAATTCCAACAATAGTTATGTTCGATTTTTAGAATCCCAATGACAATAAAGAGTAGGTGGCAGATGGGCCGTAGAGGAGTATAGTGGTATTGTTTGACGGGACTTCTAAAAATTATAAAAAAAGAAACCCAACAAGACAATAAACTCTAAAAACTAAAAGGTCCAATTTTTAAAGGTTCGAAACTTCTAAAAAGTAAAAAAAAAAACCGATGATAATCATATTTGATTTTAAAATCTTAATGACAATAAAGAAGGGAGGCAGCGGGCATGCCATAAAGGAGTACAATGGTAAAGCCGCTGACGGTTTGGCGGGACTTCTAGAAAGTAAAAAAGAACCCGAACGATAATTATGTTCGATTTTTAAAATCCCAATGACAATAAAGAGAAACGACAGTGGACGGGCCGTAGAGAAGTATAATGGCAGCGTTTGACATAACTTCTAGAAATTATAAAAACAAAACCCAACGAGACAATAAACTCTAAAACTATAAGATCTAATTTTTAAAGGTTCTAAGGAGAATGAATAATAGTAGTAGATCGAGCAAAGCAAATAAAGAAGGATATGACAGAAGTAAGATATGACATAAGTAAGGGGTAGTAACTGATGTGACTTTTAAAAACTATTTAATTAGAAATATGAGGATGATAAGATTTGGCCTTTCAAAGTCTTAGGACAACAATATATCTATTTAATAAATTTTAAGTAAAATTATACTGAAAAATATATGATTTTGTTTGGGTGCTAGCTGCGCAATTACGCGGGCCACCCAACTAGTTGATTATAACTAAAGCTACTTTTCCCTTGTACCACGCTATCTTAATTTGCGGAGGACGCGCGTTAATCTTAATTCAATCATAGAGAAATGCCCAGGGGTTTTCCGGCTAGCTCCATAAGGTGGTGGGCTAGACGACCTAGGTTCGAAATCTCGCCCCTTCTAATTATTTGATATTAGGTCCTTTCCTAATATTCACTTTTTTTTATCTTAATTCAATCATATATATTTTAAACAAGTCCTGGTAAGTAACGGGCTAGTTTGATTTTGATAATTTATTGTTGAGCAAGTTATTACCACAAATCACTCAATTATAGTGATAAATTTAAAATTATAAGAAATAATCTTTAAGAAAAAAGTTTTTCAAAGTGTGGAATTATCTATTTTAATAATCCGATGAATAAGTTGAAAAGATAGGCCCAGCTTTGTATAAGTTTCAAGCTTACTTATACAACCTCATGATAGATGGATGACGCAACCTCTCTCAAAACTACTGTTTTTCACCGTATCTTCTATAGCAACCGATGGTATTTACCGTAGTATCTTATATAGCTATGGATGCGATGGGTAAGAAGCAAAGAGTCCGAAAAACCATAATGGCAAATAACGTGGGTTGCCATGAATTACTATGTAATCTCTATATTTTATTTTATATTATAAGATATTTTGACTTTTTCTTGATCATATTTATAGGAATACGTAGCAATATCTATAACACAAACTAGTTTCATTATATCTAACCGAGTATATTATACTATATATTTTTTTTAAAATATTGCTATGTTTTCTATAAATTTGATTAAAATTAAATAAATTTCACTTAAAAATAAATCAAAACGTCTCATTATTATAATATGAAATGAAATGGAGGGGTAGCATGTGTTGGTTAGTTGTTAGATAAACATGCTTTTCTCAGCTAAACAGGCTTATATTACCACCAACTTTGTAGACAAGGTGTTATATTCATCCCTGGCACATTTGGAAGCAGATGGTGTCATATTTTTTTTTACGAAACCCAACATGGTGTATTTGTGTTAAGTAGGGGGAAAACTGTACAATAGCCTCAGGCTAGGAGGTTACAAAAGGAGCAATAAATTGAAAGGCGAGAGGAGGGGGGGGGGGGGTTGGGGGTACATGTCAAGATGGTGTCATGTTTGAAGACCATACAGCCACGATGACTACTTTAGACATCTTTTTAAGGTGGATCTCCAACCACTCCTGTGTATAGCTGTGTTCGGATGCCCCCTTTCCCAACCCCTCCTATTCGTTTTCCGTGCGCACGCTTTTCAAACCGTTAAACGGTATATTTTTTAAAAAAGTTTCTATACGAAAGTTGCTTAAAAAAATCAAATTAATCCATTTTTGAAATTTTTTAGCAAATACTTAATTAATCACGTGCTAATGGATCGCTCCGTTTTCCGTGCACGGTGTTTGGGTTAGAGATTGCCTCCTGCGAACACAGCCTAAAAGACTTAAGAGACATCAACTCAAGTGTTGACTTTCCTTGTAATCTAAGGGCCCCTTTGAATTGCAGGGTTGAAAAAACGGAGGAATAGGAAAAATACAGGATTCTGATAGGAATTGAAGTGTAAAACAGATAATTGAAAAACACAAGAATGATCGTTTGATTAGTCCACAGGAAAAACACATGAATCGTGAAAGAGTCAGTGAGCAACTGGTGGCTATGGCCTAATTGCATCATGCAAAAGAGCTGCATGACTAGCTGATAAGGAAGTCAGAAAAATGATGGAAAATGATGGATTTTAACGCAAAGCAATCACTCGATCCATGGGTAGCGTACATGGAGTCGGGCAGTTGCCCGCGCTGGCTGGGCGGTATAACTGCCACTGTACGGAACGGAAGAGTGGATGGTACGTGAAGGATGAAGGCGAAACTTAGCGGCTATGTTACCGGTAAGAATACTCTCATAGAAGATGCTGGAAGACCATTCCAACCGCTCTTACATGCACTAGTGATTTATGGAGCCATCTGATTGTACTGTCTGACTAACGTTTCCAATTCTTCAAGGATATAATTTTGCAAAATTACAATTAATGTAATTTTGCATGAATATACTGTGGCGATAAAACCCAGCCTGATTCTGTAGCAACACGTATTATATTTTTACTGAAACAGTAACTGTGACAAACACTTTATCGAGTAGCAGGGGAAAACATTTTCTCGCATATCCCTATTTTATTCATGACCTTGGGTCCCAACAGGTGCCATTGTTTTTGGGAGTAATTTCCTTGACACCAAGGAAAAAAATATCTGGTGAGTACAGCATTACCGGCGCCATTTCCTTGTGGTCATTACTCATTACCCGTTCCAGAGAACAAACTGAAAAAGGAATACTTACAAGATTTCAGGATTATTATGATTCCGGCCTTTCCGTGAAAAATAACAGCTGCATACTTTGGACATGTCAATATGGACAGAATTAAGCACATTTAACTTGAAAATCTTAACAAAAAAATCATAGCTATACTTGTTTCGTCTTACATTTTTTTGCATTTTTTTTCATATACAAGTGTGACATGTCTTTGGACTTATTATCCACCATTTTGGTCTGTATAGTAGCATAGGGACAACCATATAGGTTAGGAACCACACTATAGTATATAAAATTAACATCCAACAAAATGAAATACAATCACTTAGGAGTTAATAGGAGGTAGAGGACTCATATATTTTTAACTACTGCTAGAAAAATCGTCTTGATTCTCCAGGAACAGATAAAGGGAAAGCGACCACAGAAAACATGCAGCTTAATCTTGTACAACTTGTGTAAGCCCATTTGATTCTTCATGAACAGATCAAGGAAAACTGATAACATAAACCATAACCTTAATCTTATGCAACTTGTATAAGCCCAAAAAATAATTATTTTTTCCTACGTCCATATTCTAAATCCATGCAAAGAAATGAAATCACCTGAATCTCAGATCCTCCAATAAGATGGCAAAATATATTTCTTAACAGAATAATGATCAGTAAAGAAAGAGAAAAAAGCTAACCTTGAGTTGAGATGTCCAATTGGTATACTGAGTTTAGCCCCCAGAAACACTTCGAAATTACCCTATGGCAAAAATCATCAGTTTCTACTTTCTAATGTCCTCCATTCGCATACCACCCCCGAACTGGAATGCCAAGAATATAAAGGAATCAACTAAGCCATTTGAGATCTGGATAAATGCACTAGTCACCATTGCACTCCTCTTTCATGTTGGGTCTCACCATGATCCAGCCTTAGGTTTCCCTCCATGGCACAGCTCATTGCCGCGTTGAGAATAACATATTTTAATTCAAAGAGCACAACACCTGCTGCTGTGCAGATTTTCAATGGTGGCGGAGTCCTGGAGCACATGGCTTCCAAAGTCGTAAAACTAAAATGATCCGACTTTCCTGCACATGCACGTTGCCCATGAAAGACAAAATTTTAATAAATCAGCATACAAAAGCAGTCATGCATTCGAAATCTACCATACAGAAATAATTGATGACTCCTTAAGAGCAATAAACAAATTCATGACCTATTAACAAGTCAAGGATAATCATGCTTATAAATACAGATACATGTAGATGATCCATGTACCATAATACCTGATAGAGAAAATCCCTTGTATACCTCCGAAATTTTAGCTAATCCCTTCTATGCCTCTAAATTTTGCTTACTTTCTTGTATACCCTAAAATTTGATTTTTGATCCCTACCATGTCCCTCCTGTCAGTTAACCGTCTAATTTCTATAAAAATGTTCATTTTACCATTTGGATGAACATAAAAGTTTACGAATTACATTATTAAAAATGTAAATGTTTGCCACATGAGATTACTATAGTTATGAGTTTACTGTGCGATACATTATTTATGACAATTTATTTTTAGATAATGAAATAAAAAATATTTATTTATTTATTTTTAAAAAAAACATAAAAAATGAGGAGCATTCATACAGAGATATGACTACCAATGCTCACGATATTGTTTTTATGAATACTCCCGATCAAAAAAAATCCATTATCCTATTAAAATTTCAAACACAATTTTTAATTTATTACATTTGTTTTATTTTCAAAATTTTTTGCTCTAATAATATAGTCTCATTAGTTTCATAAAATTCACATACTGTGCACTCAAACAAAAACTTTAATCGTTTTTCAAGCTTATATTCAAATCTAAATTAATCATCAAGGGCACAACAGACATTTGCAACCAAACATAACAATGAAAAGAAGGAAAATGTAACAGCAGGGGCATGGAAGAGATCAAGCTAAAATTTCAGGGGCATAGAATGGATCGGGTAAATTTCAGGGGTATGAAAGGGATTAAGTGAGTTTTCATGGGTACATAGGGAATTTACTCTATCTGATACATATTGATTATCCATGTATCGTAGAATTTCTCCATCAGAAATGTTATTTTTGACAATTTCTCACTTGATATCTATAAACAATACATTGCCTTAATCTTGTTTTGATTCACACAATGAAAATGATTGATTGCCATTTATATTAGTTCAGTGGCCAATTTAAAGAATCTAGTTGCAGTTACAGTTTTAAATATGAAGGATCCTTAAAAAAAAGAAGTTAATTCTGCGATTGAACCATTCGTCCAAGCAGTAATGGGAAAGGAGCAGGATAGACAAAACTTAGACTTATGAAATAATTCTAAACAAAGAAACAGAATAGATGATATTACAGGAGTAAACTTTCAATTGGTATTCTGGTAAATAACATACTTGGGAAAGCAGGTGCTGTCAGACAACAAAAAACAGCTACCACTGAATCAGCAAAGTAGAATCCAAGAATTATGTCACGCCGGAATATAGACCACTATATTCCGTTTGTGAGTGCATTATTCCTTGTCCCAGAGGTAAGGTACACATAACAAATTGGTAAGGTTAAGGCTTCTGCAAAGACCTACCTCACATATATCACCCAGATTGATGAATAACCAGAACAGAGCACATGCGCATGCTGCTAAGAATGCAAATAAAGGATTGGGCTGTGCTAGGGGAGGTGTCAAGGTACCACTGTCCGCACAGGTCCAAACTCCTCTAAAAGCTATGCTAATTCTTGTGCTGGAAAATTAATCGGACATTCATCATTTTATTTACTTTTAAATCCCCACTAGCTCCACATCAATAAGCATATGGTCCCTGGGAACAGTACCAGCCATTCTCATAATGCGATGAATATCCTGCAGCAGATCATTGATCAAGTCAGATTCACTGTGGGATTTATCACGGGAAACAAATACATGAACCTTATTTGCCACCTCGATCCAACTACACCCTGGCTGTTTCTTTAGCCCTCGAACATTCATCTCTGACCTAATTTCTGCTGCTTCTTTCCATTTACCAGCTGAAGCATAAATGTTACACAAGAGAGTATAAGTTCCAGCATTATCAGGTTCTGCTTCCAAGAGATGTTTAGCCGCTAAATCACCAATACTTTCATTTCCATGTGAATTGCATCCACCTAGAAGGGCACTCCAAACGGTACTTGATGTAGGTTTAATCTTGAACCAGCTAATTAATCTTTTAGCATCCTCAAGCCGTCCAGCTCGGCTACAAAGATCAACCAAGCAAGTGTAATGTTCATCACGCACTACAATGGAGTTATCCTTTACCATGGATTCAAAGATCTTAAGCCCTTCATCCACTAAACCGGCGTGGCTACATGCTGAGAGCAATCCCACATAGGTAGCATCATTAGGCTTATAACCATTTTCTTGCATATTTTTGTACAAATGCATTGCTTCTATGCCAAACCCATGATGTGCATATGCTGCGATTATCCCATTCCATGAGATTAAGTCCTTCTCCATTGAGAAATCAAACACATTTCTTGCCAGCCTAATTTCACCACACTTGGCATATAAGTTCATTAGAGTGGATTCCACAAAAGTATCAAACTGAGATGGTGTTTTGCATATCATCTGATGAACCTGCTGCCCTTCACAGAGTGCAGCAAGGTTGCTGCACGCATCAAGAGAACCTAGAAATGTCACTTGATTTGGTTGGATTCCTTGAACAAGCATACAGTTAAATAATTTTAGTGCCATTTCACTCTGCATGCATTGTAAGTAACCATTCATCATGGTGGTCCAAGTGATCACATTCCTTTTAGGCATCTCATCAAAAAGTTGCCGTGCACTCTTCAAGTCTTTGTTCTGGATAAAGCCAGTGATCATAATGTTCCAAGAAGCAACATCCCTAATAGGCATCTTCGTGAACAAATCAAGTGCTTCCTCAATCCTGTGGTTTCGTGCATACCCAGAGATCATGGCATTCCAAGAAACAACATTCCTCTCTGGCATGGCATCAAACAGAACCCAAGCGTCGTCAACGCTTCCATTCCGTGCAAGGCCAGAAATCATTGTGGTCCATGACATGACATCCCTCACTGGCATTCTCTCAAACATCTTACGAGCCCTCTCCAAACTCCCTGACCGCACAAGTCCACACAGAAGAATGTTCCAAGAGCCAGCATCCCTCACCGGCATGCGATTGAAAAGGGCAGACGCATCCTCGACGCGGCCAACTGCGGTATACGCCTCCAGCATCGTGTTCCAAGAGACGACGTTCCTCTCCGCCATGCCCTCGAAGAGGGCCTCGGCCTCGTCAACGCGGCGTGCGCGCGCGTAGCCGGAGAGCAGCGCCGTCCAGGTGACCACGTTCCGGCGCGCATCAGGGCGGTCGAACAGCACCCGCGCCTCCTGGAGCATGCCCCGGCGCGCGTACGCGGCGACCATCGCCGTCCACGACACCACGTCCCGGTCGGGCATTCCGTCGAACAGCCTGCGGGCGTCCGAGACTCGCCCGGCCGCGGCCAGCTCCGCGACGCGCCAGTTCGAGTCCTGCACATGGTTGACCCCAGCGGATGCGGCCGGGGCGGCATTGTTGCTGATGCAATTGACCGTGGCGGCAAGGCAGAGCCGCGGCGAGCGGAGACGGCGCAGCGCGGGCGCAGCCAAAGCTGCCATTAGAGAACCAGGAGATTCTGCAAGTCTGCAACCTGAGAGCTCCTGATTGAGTCCTGAATCCTTATACCCTGCGCGGCTGTGCCCTGCGGTGCTCGTCGCCGCTAGGGGCGCGCTTAGAATTTTTAGGTTGGGTATTCAAAATGGGAAGGGATAAAAAAAAAAAAAACAACACCTCCCCGCGATGGCGATTGGCGGCGCGGCCGCGGTGTTTCAGCGGGGCGAAGTTGGGACCAGGAGGTGGTCTAGGGTGACTTAATTTTGGGGCCTTCTTGGCTACTGGGCCTGCATAATGAGGAGAGGAGGCCAGGCTTTCTTATTGGGCTTTTCTTTCGATTAATAGGCCTCTTTTCTATATTTTTCATATTCATATGAGACATATATCTCATACAAATATATTTTTTTTTCAAAAATCTTAGATATTCACCTGAATACCCTTAAATTGAGCTGCGCCCGCAGCAACGGGCATGCCCGCGGGGATGTGCGACAAGGAGTGCGGAGGCTATGAAACACGAGAGCGAGGGCGGCGCGTCGTCCTTTGGAGTGATTTGGGTGGAGTTGTTTGGAGCACTGGAAACCTGGGCTGAGAACTAGAGGGGCTAGTAGTTATTAGTAATTATCTACTATTAAGCTTGTTCACGCTTAAGAAAATTCTTGGATCCGCGGACTGACGGTGTGAGGCTGATAAGGTGAAGATCCCTGGCGCTGTCATGTCGCAGCTCGAGTGGTTGAACCACGCGCAGGAGGAGGAAGGCGTGGCAGTGTTATTTTACCATGTCATTTTGGCTGACGTGGTAGTATTGTCTTACCATGTCATTTGTACTAGTGTGACAAGATAAAACTGGCACGATAAAACCGTGACATGAATTACTAATGACGTGACAATGTTGTTCGCCACACATCAGGCGGAGTGAAATAGAAAAAAAATGTTTAGATCTAAAAATAAAAATAAGTATTGAGATGATCGATTTTTAAAATTAAAAGTTTAAAAAAGTTAGTGGGTTTGTTGGCTTGGATATGGGCCCTGCTGAAGGGTAGTAGGTAGAGTTGGGCCTTCAAATGAGAAACCAGAACTGCTAGAGGTGTTTTTGTTAGAGTATATTGTTGAAAATTTGGTCATAATTCGGTATATTTTAATCCAAAATATTATGACAATAAATATGGCATACACAATGAGAAACGATCTGGTGATGAGATGTTTAAGGTAAAATAAGTATAGACATCGTTGATATTCACATAGGATTGAAATCCTATGGATAACATTGTGAACATGTAAATAATAAGAAGAAAATCAAATAAAGTTACAATCTTATACCCAGAGAACGGTGCAGAAGATGTTGAGGAATTCGTATTGCCTCTGTTGATGTTGTCTCCTTTGTTCTCTCCAGTAGAAGCTATGGTGAAGCAGAAGCAGAGGAAGATGCAACGTTGTCGTCGAAGAACCGGAGCAGTCGCGCTTGAAGTGCTACCCAAAAACTTGATCGCCCGCCTACCCGTACAGGTTCTCAAGCGGACGGAATTCCGGAGGCACCTGCTCATCCCGTACACCTGTGCGCGCAGGTGAACAGAACCAGGGAAGGATTCTGCAGCGCAAGAACAGAGGAGGAGGAACTCGAAGCACAAGAGACGTCGGGAAGAACTTCTCCATATCCTTCTGGTCGCTGCCGAGTATATATATGTGATCGCGAGAGTAACATTCGGAGTCATCAACCGCGGTGTTTAATTTTGTAACCGACGCGCTCGTTAATACGGAATCAATTCACGGCGTTTAATTCCGTAACCGACGCGCTCATTAATACGAAATCAATTCTCCATGTTTATTACGGTCCGTTACATCAACCGTGGTGTTTAATTTTGTAACCGATGCGCTCGTTAATACGGAATCAATTCACGGCGTTTAATTATGTAACCGACGCGCTCATTAATACGAAATCAATTCTCCGTGTTTATTACGGTCCGTTACATCAACCGCGGTGTTTAATTTTGTAACCGACGCGCTCGTTAATATGGAATCAATTCACGGCGTTTAATTCCGTAACCGACGCACTCATTAATACGAAATCAATTCTCCGTGTTTATTACGGTCCGTTACAAAATGAGAGAGAGAGAGAGAGAGAGAGCAGCTACCTGCCTCGCCTCGCCCTGCCTGCTGTCCGCGCACCATCTCAATCGATCAACAGAGACTCTCCACTAGCTCCGTATTTAAGTTGAGGCCTCTTCACATAGATTTCCAAGGTGGTATTATTACCCATAGCATTTAATGTGGGCCAATGGAATTTATTAGGATTTAATTGGGCCTAGCCCATTAATCTAACATATATGATAGTTAGAAATGTATTAGGATACGATTGATTTGTGTGAACTCCTTCCTTATCTTTGATCTTTCTTTATCTCTACCAAAGTATTATTCTATATATACCGGCCCCTGAGCCTTAATACAACGTGTCTAATATTCAGAATATCTCCTTTCTTGTACTATTCAACTTGGTATTAGAGTGGGCGATCTAGCGCCTCTCTCACACTTCCACTGCCATCATCCCTAGGAGGGTTCTGATCTCCTGGGGCGGTGATCCTTTTTTTTCTCTGCCGTTGTCGTTGTTGTCCTAGAGAGATCAATCTCCGAGCATTCTAAGCATTCTATGTCGTTGTCTTCGTGTCGTTGAATCAGTAGCAACAACGCCAACTACCTCCACGCCGCCACCCTCTTCGACCTCCACCCACACCGGCCAGCCCCTTTGTGGACATCGCCACGCAGAAAGTAAAGAACTGCAAAAACTTACTTCCTCTCCTACTCATGTGGTTGGTGAAGATCTTAATACAAGCTAGTATTTGTGCATGATTGCGTGAGCGAGGCTACCATGGCTGATGGTGTAGCGCACGGGTTGGGAGGGTGCGAACAGAGTGAAACTTGCCAGAGGACGGCTAGCGGCTTGGCGATGCCCAAGCTTGACTCAGCGGAGGTGCTTGGGGGACGTCAGGTTGGGTTAGCCAAAGTGGAACATGTCATAGACAACCGATGGCATGGCAATGCCCGCCTGGGTTCTCACTGGATATACTGCATGGGTGTGTTCGGGGAGAGCAGTGGCGGCGCATCAGCGCCCACCGTAGGGATGGAAGGCAACGCACAAAGAGAATTTTCCTCCCCCGCGCACCAAAAAAATAAGCCGAAGCGGAACATGTCATAGGACAACCGACAACATGGCAATGCCTACCTGGTTCTCACTGGATTTGCTGTGTGGGTGTGTTCGGGGAGAGAAGCGGCGGCACAACGCCCACGGTAGGATGGAAGGCAACGCACGAAGAGAATTTTCCTCCCGCGCGCACCAAAAAAATGTAGATGGATGTTGTGGGTAGAGCCTCTAGGACTGGGACTCTATGGAGAGGGATTTGAGGTCCTTCCTATTTTGAGGTCTTAAATGAGATCTCTGCTGAATCTAGATTTTTGGCCTCAACCCTTATAAAATTGTTTGGGGGCTTGGTTTAGGGTTCATGCTGGAAATGCTCTTTTATATATATATATATATATATATATATATATATATATCCAACAAGAGCTCCAACCGATGTTAAAATTTAAAATTAGGATTTGAGAGCTGGTGTTCTACCATACTATAAAATCTTCATCAGTCGGGTTTTATCTTCAACTATTACGCCACCTTCTCACCAACTCTCAGATGTATGGTCAGGGGCGGAGCTAAAACGAAATGGAGGGTGGTGCCACTTGATTAATTTACTCTACTTTAATCAAGTTTAAGCTGATGCGAGTATCTAAGTTTGTATTGAAAAATATATATATATATGATGAAAATAAATAAAATATAGCTAAAATTTTTTTACCCTCTAATATCCTCTACCTCCACCCCCTGTGTATGGTCATCTCGCCACCGCGCGCCGCCCTGGCCTTGTCCTTGTCGATCGCCGTCAGGCTTCGACGATATCACAACGACACAACCCCATCGCCTTGTAACAATGCCTGATGTGAGCGTGCCAACGTCGAGTACGTCCGTCCATCGCTCCTGCCATGTCTTTGTCCATGCACAGTTGCTAAAGCCGTCGCAGCCACGCATCCCTCTCGTCCACACCCACCACCCAAGTGCCCAAGCGGTGGCCGCATATATGCATGCATTGCATAGAGTACGCCGCGGCGCGGTGGCACGCATGCACAGCATATATCCCCCTTGACTCTCGAATCCAAGTCCTGGGGTGACTCCAATCCAAGTTCTGGGGCCTCGCGTTGTTCGGCGCTGTGCTAGGCTGCTAGCTTCTGAAAATATCATGAAAAATAAAAAGCAAACAAAGGCCATTTTCAGTTCTCACGCAAAAACTTTTCATCATATCACATCGAATTATTTGGACACATACATAGAGTATTAAATATAGAAAAAAAACTAATTACACAGATTACGTGTAAATTACGAGACGAATCTTTTAAGTCTAATTGCTCCATGATTTGACAATGTGGTGTTACAGTAAATATTTACTAATGATGGATTAATTAGGTTTAATAAATTCATCTCGCTGTTTACAGTCGGAATATGCAATTTTTTTGGTTATTAGACTACGTTTAATACTTCAAATATGTGTCTGTAGTCCGATGTTACACGCTAAAACTTTTTTTTTTAACAGTCAGACTGTTGCCGATGATTTATATTAAAAGAAGATATTCTGTTTAAAGAAGAACATACCGAAACTTTTCAACCCTGTAACAAAACCGGGCCAAAGAAGATAGCTTCTGAAAAGATGAGCATCGTTCATGTGCACACAGTGCAAACGCACGCCTAGTTTGGTAGTGGTAGCGCAACGAATAAATGACGGACATGTATTTTCATCGTCGATTGGACGTCACCACTTTTTTATATATCATCTAAATAAGAATTTTTTTAAATAATAAATTTTATATACTTTATCCGTTTCATATTAAAAATCGTTTGACTTTTATCCTCATCAAATTTCTTTAGGTTTGATCAAATTTATAGAAAAACATAATATTATTTTCAACATAAAACAAACATATTATCAAAATATATCGAATATTAGATTTAATGAAACTAATTTAATATTTTAGATGTTATTAAATTTTCTATAAGAAATATTATGAAAAACTGAGGGAATATCATCTAAATAAGAATATTTTAAAATAATAAAATAAATTAATAGATATATCCCTTCACATATATATATAAGGTTAAACTTAACTTGTTTTATAGTGAATTTAACTAAATTTATAAAAAATAGCAATATTTTCAATTTAAAACAAATGTATAATCGAATATGTTAAATGTTACATTATGAAACTAATTTATTGTTGTAAATGATACAATTATTTTTGATAAATTTAACTAAACTTAAAAAAGTTTAACTAGAAAAAAAGCAACTTATAATATGAAAATGATGGAGTAATTTTTTTTTCATATTTAATAGCTAACGCTACGACAACGCTTGAATGGCTAGCTATCAAAACGCTATCAAAACCAGAAATTGATAAGCAGTAATTCATGTGACATAGCAGGTAAAGAAATCAACCAAATTGGTAGTAGGAAAATCATATCGATATTGTGTCAAAATGCATGTAAAGATCATTACAAAATTTCGTCATTGACATCGTACTACATTTCATCAAAGTTACCGAAGAAAAATAATGTTATGTGGGTATAAAGACAAGGCAACCAAAATAATAAACGGATGAATTCTTATAATTGAAAATAAGACCTTGTTTTGCCCAAGTCATTGAAGATGGTAATTGATGGCTTTGCTGCGTTCTTTCGCCTCCCTTCCAAGATCAAGTCCTAAGCAACCATCATAAATTTGGAAATTTGGATGGCACATGAATTAAAATCTGGGTAAGCAATTTGAAAGGATTTAAAAAAAATGGTGATTATGGCCCGAGTCCTAGTAAAATGTAACCAAGAGATCCTTCTGCCCGATACACCGTAGAATATATCTTTCAACACTAAACGCATATCAGAGTGACAATTACAAAAAAAAAAAATGTAGTAGCAGACCACTGAAACTTGAAACTCATCTGACTCACCCAACCACCACAATAGAATAACAAACTTCTTTAAGAAAACTGCATCGTGGAATAACATAATGATGAGGCCCTGTGCGTTCCCTAAGCTTTACTCCCTCCGTCCCAAAATAACTCAATTCCTGCGTTTCCGTGTCCAACGTTTCACCGTCTGTCTCATATAAAATTTTTTTATGATTACTATTTTCATTGTTGTTAGATAATAAAACATGAATAATACTTTATGCGTGACTTATCATTTTAAATTTTTTCATAATTTTTTTTAAATAAGACGGACAGTCAAACGTTGGACACAGAAACTCAGGAATTGAGTTATTTTGGGACGGAGGGAGTAGGTGACACCAAAACTGGAGAGTGCTGCTTTTTTAGTTCTTCACCAAATAAAAGTCTTGCGTATGCAAAATCATAATATGAACATACCAAGCAATAGACTTAGAAATCTATAAAATTTAGTTCTAATTTGAAATATTTTAAAAGGTTCCTTAAACAATCAAAACATGTGACATCTAGATTAGTTAAATATGTACCAACCGTACTTGTTCACCTAATCCAAAAGTTTCATGCCTGAGATGTTATGTTACGTGTCTATCCAAAAGGATTATATTATAACTCTACTCAGTGCAGAATAAATCAAAAAGCAGAGATACCTCAGGATTATATTATTATAACTCTATTTCGTTTTACATTATAAGTCGTTTGATTTTTTTTAAGTTTAACTAAATTTATAGTAAAATTTACCAATATCTAAAATAAAATCTAACATTGAATATATATTGATAATATGTTTGTTTTATGTTCAAAATACTAATATATTTTTATATAAACTTGATCAAATTCAGCTAGAAAAAAAAGTTAAACAACTTATAATGAAATGGAGGGAGTAGAAATTAAACACGGAGCGGGCCCATAAAAAGCAGAGGACCGACGAGGAGCTTCTTGTGCGGTAGCGCACCTGCAGAGTGCAGACAGAGACAAAGGCGACGTCTATCATGTCCCTGCGACTGCGTCTCGCCTTCCGTCTCCTCTTCTGCTACTGCCTCCTCCTCGCCGCCGCTCATCCGTCGTCCCGCCGCCTCCTCCCCCTCCTCGTCGTCTCCGCCGCCGAACGCACGAACGTCGCCAGCCTCCCTGGCCTCGATGGCGCGCTCCCTTCCCGCTTCGAAACCGGGTAAAAAAAATCGACCAAATCTAAGCTTCGATTCTTTTCTTGTCCTGCTCTGCATCAGCCGAAGCTGAGACTGAGAGAGGATTGTGCTCGATCGATCGATCAGGTACGTGACCGTCGACGAGGAGAACGGCGGCGAGCTGTTCTACTACTTCATCGAGTCGGAGGGCGACCCCGGCGCCGACCCCGTCCTCCTCTGGATCAACGGCGGCAACCGCTGCTCCGTCCTCAGCGCGCTCTTCTTCGAGATCGGTGAGAACCTCAACCACCACCGCTCACCGGCCGGCGCGCCACCGCTCACCCGCCTCTGTGCTGCAGGTCCGGTGAAGCTGGCGATAGAGCCGTACGACGGCGGCGTGCCGCGGCTGCGGTACAACCCCTACACGTGGACCAAGGTCGCCAGCGTCCTCTTTGTCGACTCGCCGGTCGGCGCCGGCTTCTCCTTCTCCCGGGACCCCAGGGGGTACGACGTCGGCGACGTCTCCTCCACGCTGCAGCTCACCAAATTTGTCAACAAGGTGCTCGATCACAAACACTAACAACAGATCATCTCCTAGTTAATTTACACCAAGTGTGTGTGTGTCCGCTCTAATTAAATAACTGTACTGTTCTTTCTGCTTGTCAAATCAAGTGGTTCTCTCAACATCGCGAATTCCTCTCGAATCCGTTGTACGTTGGTGGAGAATCCTACGCTGGAAAGCTTGTCCCATTTCTCCTGCAGAAAATCTCAGAAGGTAATAGTGTTCTAGCCCCTGCTTGTATGGCTATGATTCATCAGATGTGCATTTTATAGCTTATGAATTGATGCTCTGTATTTAAACCAGATGTTGAGGCTGGAGTCAAGCCTGTGCTTAATCTCAAGGTAAATCATTTGCACCATGTACCTATAAAGGATCAGTGTTCAAGAGATTGGCTCTGCTAATGAAAAAGTTCAGGGCTATCTGGTTGGCAACCCGGGTACCGGCGAAAGCATCGATTACGAGTCGAAAGTGCCTTATGCTCACGGAGTTGGAATCATTTCAGATCAACTATATGAGGTACTACTTCAATTTATTTACAAACAGTAGCAACTAGCAGTTAACTAGATGTGGAATGCCAATAGAACGGGCTTAATTCTTTGTGTCTCCATTGGCATGCACTTAATCGATATTAAGACTATACTGGAGCATTGCGGAAGAGAGGATTATGCCAATCCCAAGAATGCAACCTGCGCTCAAGCTTTGAACAGGTTCAGTGAGGTAAGCAGGCTTGAACTTATGCTCTGTTTTTGAGGAATACTCTGCAGTTATTCAGGAGTTTTGTCAGATATTCTTTATTTACCATGAAATAAATTCTAGTGCCCCTAACGCACCATTCTCTAATTCTCTTGTGTAAAGATTTGTTTTTCCCGGGTGTCGCTGCACATTTTCCTCAGTTTGCAGTTTGTGCACTAAAATTCAAAAAGAACAAGAATATCTAAACAGAGAACATGAAGTATAATGGTATGAGTATTGTGAAAAAAGAAGAAGAAACGAACATCTTGAAAACGAGATAAAATACTTAATTCAACCGTTTAAAGTCAAAAAGGGAGTAGCTACATCCCACAGCACCAGCCGGTCTTTGTTTAAAGGAAGGAAGAAAATTCCTTGCGTACCTTGAGTATTTTCACTCAAACCCTTACATGTGCTTAAGTTTTGTGTTATCCCTTAAATGTTAGTCCCTACTATACTCACTCCATTAACTAACATTACGTTTAAGTTGTTTGTTAGCTTTTTATGAAATGACTATATTATCCCTCCCTGGAGTATGAGTACTAACTTGTTATTATCTTCATCGGTTATAAAAAATGAAGACAACAAAGTTGCTTGAACCAAATTTTGAAAACTGAAATTTAAATTTCCCACTGAATTGTAATTAAATTTGATGAAATTTCAGATGTAGAAATTACACAAGTCACCATTTTGTCTTTCATTTCAAATCAACTTCAAACAATTTCGAAGAAATCTCGCGAGAGAGAGAGGGAGGGAGGGAGGGAGGGAGAGGTGAAATTACAATTTTAAATTTTGTCAAACTTAATTAAAGGTTGTTTCAAAATATAAATTTTGGTTTTCAAATTTGGGTTAAATAATGATGTCCCTTTTGATGTTTTAGAGCTACATTGTTTTCGTTATGTGAAATATGCTTTAATTAAGCTAGCATTTCTATAAAAACAAGGGGTAATATAGTTTATCCAACTAATGGAATCAACACAAAGGGGCTTAAACGAAAATTTAGGAGAATGTAAGGCAAAACTTGGTATAGTTATGTTTAGGTAAATAAGAAAGCTGTCTATTATATACTAAAAGTTTATTAAACCTCTTACAAACGCTCTCAAACCATCATGTGAGACTACTACAAATGCTGTTAAACCACAAGTCTAATAATTTAGAGAAAATCTTAAAAATCTGAGGAAAAAAAATGGAAAACTTCCTTCTTTTAATTTTCACATTTAATTTGTGAGTCCAATATTCTAAACCGTTGGATTAGATTAGATTGATTTAAACAAACCACAATATTAAGCCCCAACCAGCACTCGGTAAATCTTAAATATCTATAGATGTTGCACGTCTGGTCAGGGAAGATTGCGCTGGGAAGGATGTGGAGGTTCACTGCTAGGGTGGGATATCGATGATACTATGCTCAGTTGATCAGCTCTACAATAGATTTGCAGTCAATGTAATGTAAATAATTTGTTCGTGGACGCGTATAGTGGATGTGTAATTAAAAAGTGCCATCAAAACTAAAACAAGGCTAAATGAAGAGTGCCGAACTAACTAGGAGAACTAAAGATTTCCACAACACATATGCATAAAAACACAGAAAGAATCATCTATAGCATCAACAACATGAGCAATCACATCGGTGTTCCCATGTTACAGTGCTAAAAATAATATAGCATGTGGGACCTCCATATATTATAGACTACATGTTCAACCCTTCAATTCCAAACCCATTATAGCAGACAATTCAATATATAAAATATAATTAAACAATATTTCATAAAGAATCACCTAAAATTAAAATTTCAAATTTTTACGGTAAATAAGTTTATGAAATCTAAATCTTGATTGAGAGTTGTTTCATTTTGGATCACCTTTTAATAAATGTTTTAACTTAAAACCTGTTAAATTTACCTTTATGGCACTTTGGACCACCCTCGACTTTTTTATCTGTCTACATTAACTTGTCATATGCGAAAGCAATAGTCTAAATATAGCTATGGGAGTCCATTAAAGAGTAGAAGCCGATGCAACTTGTAATCATTCATATGCTTAAGAAGAGAGTCAGGGTTGTCCAAAGTGGAATAGAGGTAAAATTACTCAGTTCATAGTGAAATATTATCTAAAGGGTGGTTCAAAGTGAAACATCGCTAACAAAAGGTAGCCCAAAGTGAAACTTTCAAAAAGATGCACTTCATTTCTTGCAAAACAGATGATGGCTTCAATCCTTATCCTATGGCTCAAAAAATTACAAAACACATTTTCCCCCAAAAATAATTAACTAATCTGAGATACCAGGTCACGTGTGCTTCAAATATGGCCGTACCGCAGCACCAACCGGCAGCAAGCCGCCTCCCCGCAATTTCATGTCATATGCACAATTCTAAATACGAGGACTCCAGATCTCTGACACTGCCGCCACTTCGGCTTGTTTAGTTCGCGAAAAGAAAATTTTTGGGTGTCATATCGGACGTTTGACCAGATGTCGGAAGGGGTTTTCGGACACGAATAAAAAAACTAATTTCATAACTCGTTTGGAAACCGCGAGAAGAATCTTTTGAGCCTAATTAATCCGTCATTAGCACATGTGGGTTACTGTAGCACTTATGGCTAATCATGGACTAATTAGGCTCAAAAGATTTGTCTCGCGATTTCACCCCTAACTGTGCAATTAGTTTTTTTTTAAAAAATCAATATTTAATGGTTCATGCATGTGTTCAAAGATTCGATTTAATGTTTTTGGAAAAAACTTTTTGGGAACTAAACAGGCCCTTATATTGGCCTTTTCCGCTCGGACACCACTCAAGTCACTTCCTGTCCTATGAGCTCCTAAATTGTGAAAGCCTATGAAAAACCTAAATGTCTGTAAAGTTCATCCCCACTAAAAAAATGTTAATACTAATTCTCTATCATATCATAAAACCACATTATCTAAATTGTTTTTAGCCTTTAGATGATTCATCAAGGGTGCGAATTATATCTCTTCTCCCCCAAAATCCATACCATGCAATTGAATCATTTATAACCTTTGGATAATTGATGAAGGCACAAAATATATAAGCATATGAACAAAAATCGTATAGCAATTAAGAAAGAAAATTTTACAACTCACATATACTATTTTAAAGCACATGTAATCTTAAAACCTATACTACAAATTACATAAATACATGCTCAGCCTTTATAAATTTCACACCCTATAGTACACAGTTAGATATATCAAATATAATTAAATGATATTTTAATTAAAAGTCAACGAAAATTAAATATTTAAATTTTGATGGTAACAGATTTATGACACTTCAAATAAAGTGCTTGCACAGATGCGCGGGTTACCTTTGTAGTTTTCTTAAATGACTATGGGACCTGGTATAGTTATGCTTTATTTTTTCTTAGAAAATGATTATGCTTTAATAAAGTGACTAGAATTGATGCTTCGCTGCAGCTCATGGGAGAAGTTTCAGAGGCACATATTTTGTATAAAAAATGCATCTATGTATCTCCCAAACCAGATGATGGTACTATTGGAAGAAAGATTCTGGAGGAGATTGTAGTGGGAAACCATCGGCCACCACGTCCTCCAATGGATTGTAGTGTAAGTTGATCTTAATGAACAGCACACAATTTTCCTGTGATATAATTACCTTTTTCCACTCAAGGTGCTATAATCCATGCTATCAAACATTCATTCATTTGCATCGGTTGGTAATGTTAAAGATAATTCTCTAGCTAATATTTATTTAAAATAAGTTTAATTAACTGGCATTTGTTAGGGACTATTAATTCAAAGTTTTTTTTACGGAGTCAAATTATTATTATTTAAATTCAGAAAGAACCAATTTAGTTATACCAATTTAATTAATTAAAAATATACTCTTGCTTTCCAAATTATATATAATCCATCCAAATACTTTGGAATGCTTTGATTCAAACTGCCATCTTGCTCTATTTTTTCCTTTAGAGAGAAGGCTCCTAATATTTATGTTAAATGAAGATAGGTGACAAACATATAGAGAGCATTATTGGTTAGTTAACGAGATACCTTACATTCAAAAAGATATTGTTTACATTATATATATATACCTTATTTGTGGATAACCCCCAGTACCAAAAATAGAACGTAGTATATACTATACTAGGTGAAACTCCGTACGTTGCTGTGGAAGTTTAGTATAATAACAATAAGTAAGTAATGTGTAAGATAGCTAGATAACATAAGCTTACATAAGTTGATGTAGTCTATGGTAATTTAAATTTAAATAGTATATATAGAATGATGATTCAAATGTAAAAGATGATGTGGCTTCGTGAGAGAAGAAAAGGAGAGAGATAATTTGGACCATAGATTAATCATCTAAGGGCAAAAACAATTGATATGATATAGCTAAATGAGAGGAGAGAAATAATATTAACTAAGTGAGGATGAACTATATAGGTGTATGGGATGATGATTTAACATTCGTTCATTTTAAAGCTCTAAAGTTCAATAATTATAAAATAAAATTATAGATAATATAGCATGCTTGTACGATGTTTATATGTAATAATTATTAGTGAAAGATGATGTGTCATCATTGCATGTAGAGTTTTAGAATTTAGTGGGTTATAGCTTTATAGTAAGATAAGAATTATGCGGGATGATGATTTAACATTCTTGCATTTTAAAGAACTAAAATTCAATAATTATAAAATTATAGATAATATAGCATGCTTGCATGATGTTTAAATGTAATAATTATTAGTGAAGGATGATGTGGCATATATAAGATCTTGCTACGCCATCAAAACTTTTGCCTGAATCAATACATTACTTCTTCTATCAACAGACCTATCCCAACTATTTGTCATATTTCTGGGCTAACAGCAACAACACACGGGAAAATCTTGGAATAAAAAAGGTATTTAAATTAATATTATTTTTCCATATCGACTGGTAGTGTTTCACTTTTGCAGTTTACATCACACTTTTCTTGTTTCTCCTGATGTTCATAACATATATAGGGAACTGTGGATGAGTGGGTGAGGTGCCATGACGATGGACTACCTTATTCTCAGGACATAGAGAGCAGTATTAAGTACCATCAAAATCTTACATCTAGAGGCTATCGTGTCTTGGTATACAGGTAACCAAGTTCTTGTATGTTCACATCTCAAAAGTTTTATGATTATGAAACGCCTAGAGATTATGTGCATGTCTCTTAACAACAATTAATAATTAAGAACCGATCTCTTATTATTGGTGCTTCCGCTAATACAGACAGAAGCACCAATAGTAGTAGATTAAAAGGTCCAACTGTTGGGAAGGATTTCTCAGCTCATTTCTCGGCTTATAACGTTATAGACCCTCTAACGTATAACCATTCGAATTTATACTATTGGTTGTTTTCTTTTCTTTTTTTCTATGTGTTGTCAACTTCTTATTTTTGTCTTTCATATAGTGGCGACCATGATTCCGTGGTTCCATTTTTGGGTACACAAGCCTGGGTAAGATCACTCAACTACCCAATTGTGGATGACTGGAGAGCCTGGCATATCGATGGGCAGTCTGCAGGGTGAGAATTTATAACTTGCAGATATATAGTTTGTTACTGTAACAAAAGGCATAGGAAATAATTATCTGAGTATGCAAACTTTTTTCCACAATTACACTTTCATTTTAAAGTATTATTGATTTGCAGATTCACAATCACATATGCAAATGACTTGACCTTCGCTACGGTAAAGGTAACAACATAACTACAAGTTACTTCTCCCTCTCTCTCAAAACTAAGAAAGAGAAACATGCAATTTTTTTTCAACAAGAAACAAATACCCTCATCCCTAACTACATGCAAGAAAAGAAAATGCATGTTGGGTATTTGATGCTTTTAAGGTGGGCTCTACTGCTCTAGTGTTATTTCCAGTATGAGGCGTTGAAACTTCACAACAAATAACTTTTTTTAAAAAAACAGAGGAACTTTAGTTGAGCTGGCAGGGAAAATTTGTCAATTTACTGCTCTCTGGGACTTTCTGATAAGACTGAATTGTCTTAATTATAGTGTCCTTGTTAATTACTGGACAAACGTACTAATGTGACATAACGCACAAGAATAGATGATTATGCATTACGTATACAATTGCAAATAACTCGGCTGTAACGCTATTTAACCCAGGGTGGTGGACACACTGCACCAGAGTACCAGCCGGAGAGGTGTCTTGCAATGTTTGGGAGATGGATTTCAGAGAAATCACTTTGACGATTGTGTATATCAGTTATGATGAGAGCTGCTTTGATTATTATCTAATGAATGATACATCCCTTGGCCAGTTCATTGGGCAAGGAGGTAGCTCAGGTGAGGCGCATTATGGTAGAACATGCCACAGAGGACCAGAACAAGCTTTAGATGATTACTAAAGTGAATATGAAAGGATACAAATAATCCTGAGATCTCTCAGTGATACTCTCTTCGTTTTTTTAATAGATGACACCATTAACTTTTAAACACATGCTTGATCATTCGTCTTTTTTTTAAAAAAAATATGTAAATGTATAAGATATAAATCATGCTTAAAGTATTTTGAGTAATAAAACAAGTTATAATAAAATAAACTATAATTAAATAGTTTTTTTTGAGAAAGGCAAATGATTAAACTAGTAATAAAAAGTCAACAACATCATTCATTGAAAAACAGAGGTAGTATATATTTGAACATGACCTCTCGATACCCTGTGGTTAAGCCACGTGACAGTTTAATTGTCAGCCGTTAGATCTAATCTGAACGTTCGCACAAGCGTGAAGCCCAGCCCACATTTCTTTCCTGGTTTCTCCCCATCCGCATCGCTCACAGCCGCTGCCGCCGCCGGACGCGGTCGCTTCCCCTCCCCCGCCCGCATGCGTGCGTGCCAGCTGCGCAGCGGGCCCGCTAGCCGGCGCACTCGCTTCTCCTTCTCCCCTGCGCATGTGCTCGCTTCTCCTCCCCGCGTCGCACTGCCTTCCTCATCCCGCACGCACCAGCCACGCCGCGGAGCCGCGCGTCTGTAGCGTCGGCTGCAGGTATCGCGAGATGGAGATATGCGCCGGGAGCCCTAGCGCCATGCTGGCCTCAACCGCCCCTACAATGGCCTTCGCTGCCTCCCCTCCCCTCTCCTCCCTCGCCGCTGCCGCCGCCGTGATCTCCTCCTCCTCCCCATCAAAACCCCTCTCACGAGCAAAGACCCCTCCACCAGCTCTCCTCCAGGCTATTCTCCCCACTGCCCCCCCCAAACACCATTCCCTCTCCTGCTCTGGGTCACAAGCCCCACGTGCCACCACAGGCGAAGGATCGGCCGTGGGGGACCGCGGGAGCGGCTCCGGAGGAAACAACGGCAAGGGTGGCGGCGGCGACGGCGATGGCGGCGACAACGACTATGAGGAGGCCGAGTTCGGGCCCCTGCTCGGGTTCGATGAGGTGCTGCGCCTCACCGCGGCATGCGGTGTCTCGCTCCCGGCCGACATGATGGGGGCGGCCAAGGATGCTAGCATCCGGGAAGTCATGTTGCTCCACCACTTCGATCTGCAGGTAATCCGAATTGCAGAAGAATTGTTTGTGACAAGGTAAAAAAAAATGTTTGTGAGAAGGTATTTTCAGTCCCCTTTTCATCTCTTAGGCAGCACCATGGCCTCTAGCCGCGATGATCCGGGCATTCTTGATGCTCCGCAACTGAATGTTAGCGGACCCATCATTCCTCTTCAAATTTGGAACCAAGGTGCGTGCATGATTGATTTGTTGTTTAAGCTGAGGAGTTCAGATTGTCGTCCTACGGAGTTTTGAGGATTTTGCATTCGATGCAGGTTGTGATTGACTCGTGCTGCGCTACGTTTGCGGAGGTGTTTGAGCTGTACGATCCATGGACAGATATGCACGCTACGGTTTGCTCGCTGGCCCATGTTCCTTCATCAGTTATACTTCATGGAGTAGATCCCTAATGCATGAAGCACTGCTTTTGTCTTATCTCTGAGACTCTAACTAATACTTCGGCCAATCCTTTTTTTTTTGAAGCATGCTTTAATTTCGTCTAATCGCTCGAAGTTTCTTTCACATTGTTAGGATGTTTTGTTATCACTGTGTGCAGAAATTAACTTTGCACTGGCTAAGTGAATTTGTTTGATCTGCTTTGTAGGGATTCATGGATACAGCCATCACCCCCAGTTTCCATTCTCTTATCCTGCACAGTTCATTGGATGACATATTTGTGATTCCAAAAGAGTAATAGAGGGTTTGTGTTTAGGTGTTCCAGCAATTGATGCGAATGTCAAAATTTATCTGCTTTGCGTCCACTTAACTCTTACTTCAGTTCTTTCTTTTACATGTAAATATTGGTTGCATAAAATCTATTTTTGGTTGTTTACGAGTTTACCGACATTCTGAAATCGTAAACTGTAGGGATTTTTCATTTTGTTCTTACCATTGTGACTTATCTTATCAATCTTTTGTCTCAGCCTTTTAGGTCTGAATTAAACGCAGAGAGTTGGAACAGTCAAGACATCAAGTAGTAGCAGATTATCACTACGTTTCAAGGTGTTCCAGAAATCCTGACACAAGATCAAATTTATAATTCTGATTAAGCACTGTAGCACATCATCACCATTAGTTGTTTGGCACATCGTCTTATCTATTACTGAAGGTTGCATATATTCTGATCCTGTATTACCTGATTATTCTTTTCTGCGAATTTCTAAATAATATTTATTGTGTTCGTGGTTATACTTAGATCAGTCAAACACCCATCACAAGAGCTATATATATATAACATGTGGATAGTTGGATGAGAAGACGATGAAATGAATTGGCTACCTTTGATAGAACAATATAAATTGTCACTGGATACATTGCAACCTTCTATATGTAAGCTACATCGTGACAGCATTTGATGAATAATACACTAATGAATTGTATGTTAACTCATGACCTAAGTATGTAGTATCCTTTTGAAGTTTTGGCTCAAATGTTGATCAAAAAGTCCATTTATTTATCTCTTTAATTTTCTAACTTGAGGATGGATGCACATCCTATCCAATTGCATAATATTGAGTATGTCCTGCAGCAACGCACGGGTTTCCTCTAGTTTCCAAACGAATATTTCTCGGCAAGGCAAACACTGCAGCTTGTCCATTTCTTCCCTTTGCGGGAGTAGTTTTCAATGATTGCGATGGTAATGGAAAGAGAACCGTTTCCATCGTTGTCATTGCCGTTGCCGTTGTTGTTCCCATTCTCGCTGCCAACCATGATGAAGAGGAAATAGTGATTAGTGAATGTAGTCGTTCACGAACAACAGCCAACAGTCGCACAATGTATTTTCTAAAAACTTGACTCGCCTTATCTTCTCGGTGCAAGATCAGGGAGGTGGGGGGAGGGGGTTCCGAACCGCTGTCCCAACATCCATGGACGCAGACGTCGGGATGGGAAAACCATATAGTAATAGCGTGGAAAATAGAGAGTTGTGTGTTGTCACGTGCTCTTATATGGGAGATATTTAGTGCCTTCTATTGGACTCAAGTAAGAGGAAGAGAAAAAAAATAGCCATGAATAATAAGTAACCGACATTGGCTTTCCATTTTGAATTAAGTAGACGTTTTAATAATCAATCCGTTGGAGAGTTATATGTGTTGTAGGATTGAAACAAGAACTAGGCCTACCAGAGAGGGGTGAATGGTAGGAACACAAAAATCTGAAAACTTCTAACAAAATTAAAAGTTACCCTCAAACCAGTTGGAGATAGGTCTTACTGGTGTAGATGCGCCGGTCTGATCACCTGACTGCCATCGATCTGACCGATTGGAGTTGCTCTAGTCCGACCACCCTACACATCGTTGTCACCAATCGCTACACAGGTTCCTCCACTTCTCGTCACAACTTTTGGATCTGAGTCTACTATGTACCCTTGGGTTCAGCTTGGGCATAGCTCTACCATGTCTGAACATGGGCCTAGGGAGGTGCAGGTTCTGATTCACTCATTGGATGGCTCTGATTTCTCCGATAACAATACTATCTATAGCTCCGACGACTCTACCCCACTCCGTGAGGTGTTCATGGCTTTGAAAGGAGCCAAGGATGAACAAGCTCGAATCTAGAGAGAAGCGGAAGAGGAATACCTTCGTAAGGAGGTAGAAGATCGTCTGCGTCATGATTGGCATTGTGATCTAACAACCTGAGGATGCACGGCTCACGACAATATCATCCAAATGGGCCACGACGACCACAATGTTCGTCGCCCCACGGCACAATGTTGTTGCGATAGTCATGCTGTTGGACCTTGTACTTGAAGCCATACCCGACCACCAGGTGACTCCGACCCTCAACAAAGACAAAGCCATGATGACCACGACGTCTTCCTAGCAAGTAGGAGGATCAAGTTGCAATTTTCGCCGTCCAAGCCAATTACATTCCAATCCGTCGCTGAGTTACCTAAAACTCTAGCTGGCAATCACCCTAACCAAGAGCTGTCTGGGCGTCCCTCTGCGAAAAACCACTCGGTGGCAGGCAACAAAGGACATACCGCTTCATCCCTAAGGTGACGTCAAAATGGAAACCGTCGACCAGCTCCTTCAGTAGCGGACAGGCTTTTAATCGTCAGGATGGAGGATATCGCATTGGTAACCACCACGACGATGGACGCCATTGTGAAGAAATACGCGATCATAGGAACAATGAGGACCTCAGAGATGAGCTCAACTGATGGCACTGGGAGCGTGAAAATCATGACCACCATGGCTATCATAATTCCCCACTCACTATGAGGGATCACAGGATATGATGCCGATGAAGGGATTCCTGCGTTCACTCCTAACCTTCACCGAGTGGATTGGCAACCGGATTCAAGCCTACAAGTATCGAGAAATATGATGGTAAGACCAAGCCAGAATCCTTGTTGACAGTATACACTTTAGCAATCAGAGCAGCTGGAGGAGATAGCAAGGCCATGGTAAACTACTTACCGGCAACATTCACCGACTCATAGAGGAACTGGCTTTGGGGATTCCATGGGGATCTAATGATTCCTGGTGCGAGCTTCAGGAGCAATTCATTGCAAATTTCAAGGGTACTTACGAGAGGCCTGGTACTCAGTTCGATCTATAGCACATCCATTAGAAGAAAAATTAATCCCTAAAAGATTACATCACGCGGTTCCCTGAAACAAAAAAAAAGACCCAATGGTCATGGATGACATTATTATCGCTACCTTTCAAAAGCGACTCCATGATGAGAACCTTATTGGCAAGTTTCTGACCACCGTGACGAAGCTATTTGAGACATACAATCCATATGCCAAGTCAGCAGATGCAACCAATGATGCTCACGACGATAAGCCACCGGATGCTCCATGCCCAAAGGAGAGAAGAGATAACAGAGAATTTAATCGGAGAGAGATCGGAAGCGTAGGCCAGAATAATTGGCAGCGACTATTGGGAACTACCAGCCGCAGCACCCTCCTCACAACAATTATGATATGATCTAAATGGGCTCTACAAGAAATTCGCTGAAGATCATGCCAAACAACTCCAGGCGCCAGCCGGTGAGGGTAGCTCCGGCAAGGATAAGGCCAAGGACAAACCGGACCACATGGACCCGAGTGGATTCCAGGATCACCGAGTCGAGCTAAACCATATTTTTGGAGGCCCCTTGGCATGAGTAGAAGGGGAAGCAAAAGCTAACCGACTGTGAAATTAATATGGTTCAGCCGAATGTACCCCAATACATACGAGGGTCGATGTTCGCAATCATGTTTGACCACTCGGATCATTCTGACCAAGTGGCTCGCCCGGGGCGGTATCCCTTAGTCCTTGACCCGGTTATCAAGAAAATCAAATTCAGAGGGTCCTCATTGGTGGAGGCAGTGCGCTTTATATTTTGTTTGCAAAAACACTGGATGAGATGAAGATTCTGGATGAGATGAAGATTCCAAGGTCAGAGTTGAAGCCAAGCACTGCTCCATTTCACGGGTTATTCCCGGGCTGTCTTCAACACCACTCGTCCAAATTACTCTAGAGTAATCTCTATCCCCACAGATTACACCACTAGACAATGGTTTATATCATCGCCCTCTTCATCTTTGTCAAGTGAACACACCTCTACTAATAAAAGGCTATGGACAATTCTGCTAGTGCTTCGCTTGCTCATGCAGTTATGGTATACTCCCTCCGTTCTGAAACATAAGACATTTTGGCTGGATGGGATATATCGTAACACTACGAATCTAGACAGGTAACCAAAATCCCTTATATTTTAGAACGAAGGGAGTATTATCTTCACTCTGGCATCAAAAGCTATTGCTTGTTCTTGCAAATGAGATAGACCTGCCAGTTTCTCATGTCAGTTTCTCCTATTTTTAGATGTTGTGTGACTAATTTGTCTATGGCAGTTGCTATGAGTAGCTTCATACTCCTCCTATCCAAAATAAGTGCAGTTGTCACTAGTATAGATCCGGGCATCCTTGATGAGCCACCAGTGTCGGGCTAGTGCGACTCGTTTACTTTAGTGCTTTACCTAATGCCTTCACTCGGATGAGTCATTCCTAACAGTTCAAAAAGTATCCCGTTTAAGATATGACTATCGGGGATGACCCCTCACCGATATAAGGTCATCTTTATTGGCTTGTAGTTCTAACACGTCATATATGACTTATAACGGGTCTCAATTATATCCCATCACGGATAAAATGTCATCCGTGACGAGTGTAATGGGATGACCCATTAAAGATGAGAGCACTCATCCGTGATGGGTCTTAATTACCATCCTTCACGGATAACATTATTTGTAAAGGATGGTAGTTACTAACCATCATGGATGAAGAAAAATTTAAATTTTTGAAATTTTCAAATAACCTTAGATAGAGACATACCATATATAAAAGTTATAGATCTCGATGAGATCTATAACTTTAAAGCGGACAATATTTTAATATGAGATAGTTTATATGCCCAAGAATGCATTATAAGTGGCAAGATATATTTTTAAAAGACATAATTTTGAATTTTTACCTTGATCTCGGATGGAGACGTTTCCTATATCAAAGTCAAAGGGTTTGATGAAATATAATTGACAATATTTTCATTTAAGATTGTTTTCATCCCCGAATATGTTTATAAGTGATGTGATCTATTTCCAAAATATTTTTTGAATTTTCCAAACAACCTTGGATGGAGACATATCCTACATTAAAGAGTTGAAAGCGTTCTCGTTTGAACTCATCTAGGGTTTCAAATTTTTGTTTCAGATTTGGATAAGAATAGTTAAAAAAAATAGCATCGATCCCTGATCAACATGTGGTCTATAGGTGAGATGGCACGATTGATTTTCATTCGTTAAGAGGTCTTGGGTTTGAATCCCACTTAAGACATGCATGCATATCATTTGAAAAATCATGAATTTTTATCTAGTGATGTGTGACCATGGTTGGAATATCCTAATGATATTTTTAGGGGTTTCTATGCATTTAAAATTCAAAAAACATAAATTCTTATCCGTGAAGGTTTGTAATTATGAACTGTCACGAATAACTCTCATCCACGACAGGTCGTAACTACCACCCATTACGGATGAGAGTTATCCATGATGGTCTTTTATTTACACCCGACAAAGATGACTGTTATCGGTGACGGCTGCCAGCCCGACACAAATGAGTTTTCACATCACTAACCAATGATCTATGACCAAGCCACTCACCGACACTGATGTGGATTTCCACCTGACGCAGATGACCAAATCCACACTAGGGCGTGTGGGATGGAGGGAATACTAAGATTCATCATCATATTTTACATTGTTTATTTCTCGATTACACTGAATGGAAAAGTACTAATAATTCCAACTCGCACAAACCAATAAAAAATAGTGCTAGAGGTGCAAACAAAACCACTACCCAAAGTTCAAAACAAACACTAAATGCCATTCCATTATATTCAGCACATAACTCATCGAAGTATATACTACTACCCAAATCCCAGATTGATGTATATACTATTTTGTTCGAATAGATTAACACACACTTCACAAAACCAACATTTATGGCAGTTTAACTGAATCCATGATCGCTCTCACCAAGCAGAACCTTCATCTGATTTCTCTTCCGGATTCCAACCTGGAGACGCCATAGATTCAGAACAGAATCTGGCAGTAGAGATGCAAAGAACCACTGGATCGAGTGGCGCCAGTAGGGGACACATCTTGGCTCATAACCGATGCAGCGGACAGCAGCCTTGGCGTACTCCTCGGGTGATGGTATAAACGGCGAGTTACCCTGGACAGGTGACATCTTTGTGGCGACATATAATGGTATCTGCACAAAAAATTGGTTAGGGCACCACTTGAGATGACAATGGAGAAATATGTGATGTACATATGGGTAGTGGATTTTTTATTTTACGTGATGGGGTAATGAGAGGCACATATTTTCTGGTGTTAATTTGTAGTGCATTTCGATGTCTTCTGAAGAAGAGTAAAACACTCAATCCATTATGTAATATATGTTTGGAAACAAGATATAAGTTTTCTAGAAGTTAAAAGAAATTAAGAATATCGGTAGGTTAATTTTATACTTTTTATAATATTGTAGCAATTTTAGTATTTTATTTTACAATATGTTAAAAATGAGCTATGCAATATTTTCAAAGCCTAAATAATGTGCTCATAACTGCCTTTTATTTTCACCTCGCTCTAGAAATGATCTTTATAAATGTCGAAAACCCATTTTTGCAAAGGCCTCCCACTATTGTATGAAAAAAAATCAGTATCTTTTCAACCGTGCGACACAACCGCACGTTAGAACCCATTTTCATAGGCCGCCTGTAAAAAATTATTTTTAAGCGACCAAATTAGGACGTTCAACTAAAAGAAAACAAAACGAATCTAGACACCCCAGTTAGGGCCGCTGTCACCGCCACTACCGGGCACCACTGTCATCATCACGCAGTTGATGTCAAGGTCGTCGTCATGCCGTTAAGGCTATGGTCTTCGTCTACTTGGCTCCTCCACCTCCACTCTCAGTAGCCGCAGACGGCAAATCCACCCGTCCGAGGCCGCTACCGATGGATCCACCGCCGCCTACACCACCACACGTGCCGGGAGGTAGAGAGCTAAGAGGAGGGGAAAGTGACAGTAGTGATAGATCCACATCACCCATGGCCACGACCGTCGTCGTCTTCGTGTATCCGCCGCTAACAGCCCCACACTGCTCCAAGCTACCGGATCCGACTGGTGGTGCCAAATCCGCCCCTTCTCACCTCGCCAGATGTAATGCCTTTGGCCCCACCCCTCCCTACCCTTTTGCTGCCGCCACTAGGTCTAGCCGACACAAGGTCGTTGGGGCCGGATCTGCCCATCAAGGTGCCAGGCGATAGCGGATCCACCCGTTGTTGCAGTGGCTCCCACCGCTGTCCACCGACCCCGCACTCCTCTGCAGACCTCTTGTGGCAAACCGCCCCTTCTGTTAGGGCCTGCTGGCTGCTCCTTTTGTCGGTCATCAAGGAGAGCAGATAGAGGGAGGAGGGGAGAACAGAAGAGGGACGAGAGCACTAAGGAGAGGAGTAGACATGACAGAAAAGGACTTAGCGCAAGGAGGAGAATATAGGAGAGGGAGCCGGCATGTGAGAAAATTCATACGTAGGCCGTTTAACAGTCCTGTCTATAAAAATAAACCTTTTATTTTGCATGCAGGCCTCTTCCAGATCTGCCTATGAGAATGAATTTTCGCACATAGTTCTTTACAAGGCACCTTCGAAATACATAGCTTCTTTTAGCCCGTCCAAAAAGAAAATAAAGGGGTGTTTTATTAAACTTTGAAGCTGAAATAAATGTTCAGGCAATAAACATTGTAAAAAGATAACAAATGTTACCTGGCATTGCACATCCACTCCGTGATGCTTGTATTCAACATGTAGACTTCGAGACAATTGGTCAACATACCTAAAAAAAGGGTATTAGAAAAATGGTATCAGAGCAGGTACAATAACAGACTATTAGCTAGCTACAAACATATTTTAATGAGATAAAAGATGAGAGAGAAGAGCAGCGGGCTACAGATCTGTAGTCAGCTATAGTACGGACTCCAAGACGCAATGTGTGTATGACATGTGGGACCATATATTAATAGTATAGTAAGCAATATTGTATAAATTAGCTATTAAATCGGCTACAGATGAATTGGAGCTAGTAGTGGACTATACTATTAAACTTGCTCTCATAAGAAATTTAAGTTAGAGCAGTCATATTAATTACCTAGAGATTAGTACGTACCTAAACTTATATTATCTTGTTTGCCCCTATGTATTGAGTAACATTCCCAAATTGTTACGGTCCCTCTTATGTGACGCTCATTTGGTATGTGACATGCACATTAAAGTGGCATACCACACGGATATTTCGGTCCCAAATTTTTTTCTTTGTTTTTTCCACACGAACAGAAGGGAAGAAGAGAAGAAAATTAGAAGAAAAAAAGATAAAATAGAATGACTCAACACCGATGTTCCAAATGAGCATCATATCGGTGTTCCAAATGAGCATCATGTAGGATCTCGAGGCGTCATGACAATTTTAAAAATATATTTTAAAAGTTCATAGATCTGGATGATATACTTAGACAAATCTTATCTCATATATATAGTGAAAGAAGTGAATCAGCTTTCTTGCACAATGATGTGGCACAACATCAAAACATATTGGCTAAGCATGCATTAATACAAATAGAGCATATGGGAATTAATAAAAAAACACAAACTGACTAAGCATATGGGAATTTATGGATGTTTCTGGTGATTCATCTTGGACACATGATACAAATAGAGAGAGGGGGCAAAAGACAACGAAGAAAAAAAAAATCCAGAAGACTTTCTAGTGATTCCTCATGTGAACATATAGTATAACTTAGCTAAATCTATAATTAGTTAGGCCAATGAATATTTTGTAAATAAATTAACTTATGTTAAAACCTTCTAGAAGCTAAGATAAACTAATAAAGCATATATAAAAGTTCTTAAACATGATCAAAATTTGTGCAAAGCGCGACTATATGGTTAGTCATTGATGATATATATAGACAAACAAGTTTAAAGGCCGACAATACACTTTACCCAATATGATATTTAAGTTACTTTGAGATGTGCTTTTCTTCAATTGTTTGTTTTCAGCATTATATTCAAATGATTATTGTTTTCTCTGAAATATCAATGAGAATATACCATCTGGATATATGCATGATTGCTATATTAATTTATTATTTATGTCGTTTCTCAATATATAATTATTGGCCGGTCCTCCATGTTATTCGCCGGGGGAACAAAGCATGAACTTTTCCGTCATATACGAACGGACATTAACGAGCATTCATATGCCATGTGCATTTGGACGGTGATCAATCGTTGGCTTGCACTTATAATGGGAAGTTTGGTTCAACGTTGAAATATGCCATACCACGGCCATATCTTAGACATGACGAGACTAAATAATACGAGGTACTTTTTTATCTCAAAATAACTTCATCTCTTCCTTCACCAATTTAACTCATAAAGACTTTATTTTTAAATAATCAAAATATTAGGACTTGTTAAAGTTGGCGATAAACGTGGTGGGCTTGGACTTGATAAAGTTAAAGACAAAAGTACTGAAAATTAATAAAGTAAAAGATATTTTAATCTTCTAAATCTTATATTGGTAATTGTAACATAGATTAAAAAATAAAGTTAATTTAAAACAGAAATAGCATGAGAATAGCCAGTAGAATTTGTGGCTTAAAAAACTATATACGACGACATACATGTGACACCTAAACAAACAACTGCATCAAAATGTTGCACCAAACCGCTCAACAAATCTTCTCACTGTAGATTTTGCCTTTTTTTAAGAGTGAATTGCACTTAGTTTCATGTTAGACCATCCCTAGTTCAATCTTTCTACTTTCCACTAGCTAAATTTATGATGGTTTTACTTTGTACCGCCTAAACCACTTCGGTTCTAGTACGCTAGCGAAATCCTTCACCTATGAACAGAACATATCATGTTATTTGTCTGAGTATAGGATGGACATAACTAAGAAAAGATTCGGGAGGTCTGAAGCACTACTAGAAAAACGATTTTTAGCAACATTGGCCTTTTATTTTTCCAAGCGGGTATGACCATCGGACCCAAATATCCGCCTAGAAAAATATAAACTGAGGTGAATTTTCGTCATCCGCCTACGAAAATCGATTTATCCAGGCGGACCACTTAAGCGATCCGGCTGCGAAAATACCTTTAATTTTACAGGCGGAATGCTTAAGTGGCCCGCTTGGAAAAATCGATTTTCACAAGCGGAACCTTACGTGGTCCGCCTGAGAAAATCATACCTCCACCGAAAAATATCTAAGTCACAGACTCAAGTACTCAATCTTATCTTCAACTCAACCCCGCCCCACCACTCACCCTCTCCTCTCCATCTCGCATATTATCTTCAACTCAACTCAGCAAGGCCGCGGCAGGGCGTCAGCAGCAGCGTCGGCGTCGGCGTTGGCGTCGCCGTCGACACCAACGAGCGGTGGCGGCTCCGAGAAGGAGCGGTGTGTGCGCGACGAGCGGCGGCGTAGGCTCGTCTCCTCACCACCTCCGCTGGCCGCTTCCCTCCTCGCCCCCTCCGCTGCCGGCCACTAGGAGCGACGACAACGGCTCTCCTCCTCCGCTGCCGGCTTCCCTCCTCGCCGCCTCCGCCGGCCGCTTCCGCTCCTCGCCCCCTCCGCTGCCGGCCACGACGAACGACGACGACGGCTCGCCTCCTCCACCGCTGGCTTCCCTCCTCGCCGGCTCCGCCACCGATCACGACGGGTGATGATGACGGCTCGCATCCGGCCGCTGGCTCCCCTCCTCGTTGACGCGATGACGACACTGACGGTGTTGATGCGACGATGATGATGACGTCGCCTGTGGAGGCCGGCGGACGGAGGAGACACGGCGGCTCGGCTCCTCCCTCTCCTATGTGGAGGCAATGGCGGACGGAGGAGAGCCGTGGCCGGAAGGTGAGGCCGGTGGCGGCGCCAGTGGTTAGGTTGGTGGTTTTTTTAAAAAAATTTTTCTAAGATGATTTTCGTTGGCGGGCCACGGGCCCGCCTGCGAAAATGGTCTATTTTCGCAGGCGATAGGGTAGCGGCGGTCCTTCCCCCCACCTGCGACACATGTTTTGGGCCGCCTGAAAAAACCTTTTTTCTAGTAGTGAAGTGCAACAACCCTAAATTCAACTATAACCAGTCCAAAGTAAAACTACAACAATAAAAGATCATGCAAATATAATTCACTTTTTTTGTTGTTTAAGATCGAAACTTCCTATTAATTAATTGCTTATATGCATGCACCCATATGATGCAGTCTTTTTAAGCATTGATTCTTCTCACATAAAAAATTAAATCAAATTGGCATTAACATTTAATTTTCTGAGAATCAATCACTTGGCTTTTCAAAAGTATAAATTTGCTACAATTTTGCATCGGTATCTCACAGAACTAAGAGAATAGCAAAGCAATTTTATCACAGAGCCACAGCTACGTACCTTTAGCCCTCTTGATCTATATGATATATGGGTCTTGCATACACCAACATAAATATTGCGTGTGTGTAAGATAAGTAGGCCCAAAAGTTGTCAAACAAATAAAATTTATAGCTTTCAGATATAACCGTACATTATTGTTGTATTTCTCCAAATATTTGTAAAATGTATATATAAAATTATTGTAAATTGGTAATTTTTAATAAAAATATAGTTGCAATCATCTGAAATTTACTTTTTTGAAAACAACTGATAAAGAAAAAAGTAAATCAATTTAACCTTTTATTGCATGCAGTGAAGTTTGGGATGTATACTCTCTCTCTCTTTCAAAATAATTAAACCTAGGATAGGTGTGCATTTAACTATTTGCTACTTTTAAAATGTGACAATTAAGAATTTATCATTGGCAGTTTATGACACGTAGGTTCAGTGACATATTTAATTGCCACTTGTAAGAGTGGCACATAATTAAATATCTCTAGTACAAAGTATGATATATTCTAGTGCTCTTATATATATTTATAGTAATACGAACCATCACATATCGTATTAGGTTATTATTTTGGTTATTATTTTAGACGAAGGAAGTACTCCACATATTGCATGAATAGTGATAGCACTGCAACGTGCCTTTTGGCGCCTGCCACCACTAGATGATACACTTGTGTTGACTTAAGGTGGTGTCATGCCATCCTGCCAATTGATGGGCTATTAATGTAGAACTGTACTCCATACATGCCAGTAGATGGTTGTTTCTAGATGTCAAATTGCACAATTTGTTCCGATGATAGAAAAACATTTAATTAGAGTCAAGTTTCTGCATGGATCAACAAAGTCAAATTACGTTGGGAGTATCTTAAAAAACTGCTACAAGTTTTTTTTTGACTGAAAAGTCGAAAAACTTTGAAAGGTAACTATATTATAATTGTAACTACACTGTAACTTTTTTTAATCAAGCTATATATAACTATGATATAACTTATATTTAGTTGGCTAGCACCATGATCTTACACGTGACGTGTGAAAAGAAATTTGTAGCTACTTTTTTCCTTCATGCATATATAAATCTCGAGGCAATCCAATAGTTACAAATATGAAAGTTCTTGGAGCAAAGAAACGTGCGAAAGTTTTGTAACACTTTTCCTTCTTTTAATTACTCGTCGTTTGTTGTAAGTAAGACATATATCTTTCACTATCACTTTTTTCAAATCCAGGCCATGTAGTTTACCAATAATTGAATTATATATTTAAAGTATTTTCATAAATCTTATTACATTAAATTATATTTGTTTATAGGAGTAGATGGGTTAAAGATTTAAAATGTTTGACTTAGAACAAACGTGAAACGATCAGTAATTTTCTAAGACTTGTTTTAAGAAGGTTAGTTGTTAAGTTGCGCTAATTTTGGTCAGCTTTAGAAATAAATTTAGGATTAAACTAGAAAAAAATACTTATGAGCATGACACGATAGCTTTGAAGATTGGAAGGATGGATTGACTTACGCTTTGGTCGCTGCGTACACGGCGTAGAGCGGGAACGCCGGCACGACGACGGAGGAGCCGGAGCCGACGTTGACGACGGCACCCCTCCCCTTCGCCGCCATGGCCGGCACGAGGGCGCGCGCGATCCTCGTCGCCGCCACCACGTTCACCCGCAGCACCGCCTCCCAGACCGCGTCGGGCACCTCGTGGAAGTACGCCGCGCACGGGTACGTCGCGCCGGCGTTGTTCACGAGCAGCCCCACGTCGAGCCCCTCCACGGCCGCCGCCACCCTCGCCACGCCGCGGGACAGCTCGCCGCCCCCGACGTCGTCGTCCCCTGGGGCGGCGAGGTCGAACACCACGGTCCTCACCTTGCACGCCGGCGCCGCTGCGCGGACCTCCTTGCAGACGCCCGACAGCTTCCCGGGGTTCCGCCCCACGAGCACGAGGTGGAGCCCGCGGCGAGCCAGCTCCAGCGCCACCGCGCGTCCGATGCCGTCGGTGGCGCCGGTGACCACCGCCCACTCGCCGTACCGCCGGCACAGGCCCTTCCCGGGCCGGAGGAACGCGCGGCGGAGCCACGCGAGGAACGTCCCCGCCCACACGACCGCCGCGTGCAGGCCGACGGCGACCAGCGCCACGAACCACATCGGCGTCGCCGGCGCCGGTGCAGCGGCCAGATCTCCGGCCACCACCACGGACTCCATGTTCTTCGCGCCGGCGGCCGAACAGCTTGCTATATCAGGGCATTCGCAACGTTAGCAGCGGTTCTTTTTTATGAGCATGAGCGGAAGCCAAGTGCAAGCATTTGAGAACTGCAACAGTGGAGTGGTGCTTGCGCCTACGCCCTACAGTTGGTAGGTCCGTCAGTAATGGCGAGTGAATGCAAGCAAAGGTGGTGGATGGCTAGCTTTGCCGTGTGGAGAGAAATCTCTCTACATATGCAAGCGCAAGCATATGACATCGCATATGGCAGATTGGCAGCATGGGTGATGATGATGGCTACTCTGGTCCATGGGTAATCAACACGCAACAGAGTACTACTATTGTTGCATGATCAGTACTTTGTACAATGTGTCCTATTTAATGGGAGAGTTTGTTCTATCGTTTTTATCTTCGATCACTACTCCATTATGTTTGTAATATGATACAGTAATTTAATAGAGTAATGTCTCGATCTACGAATATATAGGGGTTTTTTTAGCTTTAATAGTATAATTCTATCATAATTGTCTTTGGCTGTGTTTAGTTCCATGCCGAAATTGGAAGTTTGAATAAAAAAATTAGAAGTTTGTGTGTAGGAAAGTTTTGATGTGATGGAAAAGTTGAAAGTTTGAAGAAAAAGTTAGGAACTAAACCAAGCTTTTTTTCCCTAATAGCTTGTTTGATTTGAAAGGGATTGAGAGGGAATAATTTCACACCAAAATAGGTGTGGAATAAGGTGGTGTTTGGATCAGTGACAAAACTTTAGTCCTTGTCATATAGGATATTTGGACACTAATTTAGAGCTTTAAATATAGACTACTTACAAAACTAATTATATAAATGAGAGCTAATTCACGAGATATTTTTTAAGCCTAATTAATCCATAATTAGAGAATGTTTAATGTAACATCACATATGCTAATCATGGATTAATTAAACTCAATAGATTCGTCGTCCAGGGTTATGTAATGAGTTTTTTTTATTAGTCTACATTTAATACTTCTAATTAGTGTACAAACATCCGATGTGATAGGGACTAAAATTTTTTACCCCCATCCAAACACCCCCTAAATCCCTTCCAATTAATCCCTCCCTCAAGGGGATTAACCGAACAAGGTCTAAGCGTGAAGAAATTCAAGATGATACATTACACATAGATGCAATACTAAAGGTACATGTACCAAAAAGATTTATAATTTTCGATGATATTTTTAGTGGATGTATAACGTGTGTACATGCACAGGTTTATGTGCATAGTATATATCCCAAGTTAGATATATTAAACATTATAGTACACTTCCAGAAGATATAACGGTGTGATGATTAATCATCCGTCTTACTACACAATATAAATGATCAACTTTTTTTTGACATAAAACTTTATAAAAATGATCAGCTTACTACAAGAGTAATCGCGTGATCACACTGGTCCTAGGTGAAGCAAGGACTAGCTGTGAATTTATAGCTGAGCTATAGCATATATACGAAAACAGTACCTACATTATTTTGTGGTCCTCCTTAACCCAGATGTGCACTATGACCACACCCTCCATTGGTTATTGGAGAATAAATACTGGTTGTTTACGGAGACTAATAAAATGACAGCGTACTAAACGGTAATATATAGTCTTACCATAAAAACATATGTAGAATTAATTTGAAAATGCATTCTTTACTTCATTTTTTTCTTTATTTAATTTGGTATTCAAGTCGAAGAAGAAATACAAGAATTCTATAATTACTTTTTTCTTTTTTTGCGGGTTATAATTACTTTTTTCAATGAAACATCCTAGCGTTTACTCAAAGAGTTACACACAATTATTACATAAGTCACACAGAAAAGTTCACAATAGCAGAAACGAAGCTAAGCAAACACAAACTAATAGACACCAATAGAAGAAAAAGATCCCCTAACTACTAAAGAATTCTATAATTACTAAATAATTTTTTCATTGCAATATTTTATTCAGTTAATATATAGTTATTTTGTTATGGAAAAATAGATAGCTAATCTAATATATTAATTAATTTTTTTGGGAGGTTGATAGTTCATTTGTTGGAGAAGAGTCGATTATTCTCTTTATCATTTCATTTATCATTTCACCATTGATCATCTAGAGTACTCCGTTGGGGATAGAAATTCCATAATGAAGTACAAGTCATAAGCAAAGCAATTATATTTCATTACTATGATAGAATATGAGTTTAAATAAATTGTATCTGTGCAGAATCTTTTCAAATAGATACTAAACTCCTTTTATTCATATTTGTTCATGGATAGCAAAGCAATTTAAATTAGTACAGAAAACCAGACTAATTGTTACGGCTAAAAGTAAACACTACCAAGGATCTCCCCTGGTAGATGATGATTCTTGGTAGAAACCATCATTGCTGTAAAATCAACATGGAACTAATTATCTGACCTAAAATTAGAGTGACATGGTCGCTCATACTATCTCCATCCTATAAAAATCTGGATACACATATGTTCAGATTCATTGTAATAATTTATTGTACTATAATGTGTTACATCCCGTCCCAAATTCTTTTTTTTGAAACGGAGGGAGTACGTGGAAATATGTGGAATGTACCGACATGCCAATGTCCACCATGTAAGGGCCAGGTTGTAGTTGGGTTAGAGGATCTTATTCCGAATCACCAATCCAAATGCTATTGGATGAGGAGTCTTTATCGGATGGCGGCGAAGAATTTATTTCTTCGGCGGTTGATATAGTGCACGGTGAGTTCAACAATGGTGAAGTTCAAAAGGTGGTGGATATGTTTTAGGTCATACAGTAATTAATCAGGAAAATTTGACTGGTCATTGGAGATTGTATAATGATTATTTTTCCAAGGAACCTACATACCTTGATGTTCAGTTTAGACGCAGGTTTGTAGCCGTGCCTTTTGTTTTGTCAATCTTTGTTTGCAAAATTGATATAGACGAGAATTATTATTGTTAATTACTGTGCAGGTTTAGAATGAGACAACCTCTCTTTTTACGCATAATGAATGCTATTGAAGCACATAATGAATATTTTGTGCAGAAGAGAAATGCGACTGGTATCCTTGGACTGTCATGTTTACAAAAGGTAACAACAGTATCACGCATGTTATGTTATGGAATAGCAACAGATGCAATTGATGAGTATGTTCGTATTGGAGGTAGTACCGTTATTGAGAGTTTTAAAAGGTTTGTGGTGGCTGTTGATGAAGTTTATGGAGAGGAGTATATGAGAACACCAAACGAGAATGACAAAGCTAGATTACTTGCTCAGGGGGGAGAAAGAGGGCTCCCAGGAAAGTTGGGTTCTTTAGATTGTTTGCATTGGTAGTGGAAGAACTACTAGACCGCATGGCAAGGCTAGTATATAAAGAGAAAGAGTAAGTTCCTACTTTAGTTTTAGAAGCCGTTGCCTCACATGACTGATGGATTTGGTATGCGTTCTTCGGTTCACCTAATTCTCACAATGATATTAATGTCCTTCCACGGTTGCCATTGTTTGCAAAGCTAGCTTAAGAGCACGCTCCTAAAGTTAATTTTAGTATCAAAGGGCATGACTATGGGTTACTATCTTACATATGGTATTTATCCTTCATGGGCAACACTTGTGAAGAGCATGAAGCTACCACAAGGAAATAAGAGGAAATATTTTACCAAAGCACAAGAAGCTGCTAAGAAGGACATTGAACAACCATTTGGAGTGCTTCAAGCTCACTTTGCTATTACCCGTGGACCCCCTCGTTTTTGGAGGAGGGGGTGATTGTTGGACCCAATTTTTATTTTGGTATTCCTAATTCAGATTTTTGGGGAATCAAATATTGGGTGGTTGATGGGCATGCTCTAATTGCCCCCAATTAATTTGGAATTTGGGCATCGGATTGGGGGGGATTTGGTCGGGAAAGAAGCTAGGTTTTCGGGAGAGAGAGGAGGCCGGCGGCTGGAGGTCGGGGACGATCAGCGTGTGGGTCCCACCTACCAGCGCACACGCTGCCGCGCGCGTGCATGCAGCGCCCGTGAGGGGCACGTGAGGCACGCATGTGTCACGCCTGGAAATTCCCGAATAGAATTTCAAGCAGAATGTGACCGGCCAGGGTACACAAATGACAATGTTGTCATCAATGGTTGCAGTCTATCAGCAAAAACTTTACAAATAATTTTTACAAAGAAATTCATGAGGGAGATCAGCCTGAAGTCATTAGGGGATTGAGGACTAGGCTTCTTTGGGACCAAAGTTTTGTAAGAATATTTGATTGCAGATAAGTTAACGGTACTTCCCCAGAAATCAGTACAAAGTCTACAGAAGTCTTGAGCAATTATTCCCTAGCAAGATTTAAAAAAACACCCATCGAAGCCATCTGGTTCAAGAGCTTTGTCACCAGGCATTTTTTTCACAGTCTCATCAATCTCCTTAGTGGTTATCTGTGCACATAAAGAAGAGAGATCCCCTTTGTCTTCTATCAACTCAGAGACATCAAAAACCATTTCAGGATTATCAGTAAGCCCCATTCTATCCTTGAAACTTTCCAAAAGATGGCACCCTTTCCTTCATGATCACTCACTTGATTGCCATTTGAATCTTGAAGAAAGGAGATGTCATTATTTCTAAATCTTTCAGTGGCCATGGCATGAAAGAACTAAGTGTTTTCCCCTCCAAGAAGAACCAGTTTCTGTTTAAATATTTGCTTCCAATATTGTTACTGCCAACTTAGAAGAGAAGCAACTTGGCTTTTAACAATCATTTTGAATCTTAGCTCTGGAACATTCAATAAGCGGAATTCATCCAGTTTATCAAGAAACAAGATCACCTTGTTACAATTCTCTGTAGTCCTGGAGAGTTTAGCCAAACAAGAACTCCACTTTTTAAGAGAGCTTCTTAATCTTTTGAAATTGGCCGAAATTATGTTTGCCTGATCTTGAGTAACTCTGAAGCCCTCCAACACATTTCTGACTTGATCATGAAAACCTGCCTAATTCAGCCAAAAGTTTTCAAAGCGAAATACATTTGATTTGGGGATTGTAGTAGCAATTTGGACTTTAATCGAAGCATGATCAGAGGCACTTCTAGCCATCACCAAAGCATGAGTATTAGGTAAAAACCTACTCAAGTTGCTCAAGAAGAGGATCAACTTGCATGTTGCTCCATGTATAAGAACGGCCTTGCAAAGGAATTTCTAGAAGCCCTTGAGAGCTAATGACTTCATTAAATATAAAATTATCGTTCATATTACC